AAAAAATAAAAATAAAAAAAAACTAACATATCAATCGCAAACGCCTGTGGTTGTATTAGGATTGCTACATTCTTAGGGAAGGTCATGTTTATGGAACATACTGGCCTGCTGCTATCTAAGCATCTTCCTTGACCTTCTTACTTTATTTTCAAGTTTTTGGCCAAACGTGCTGCCTAAATTTTACATAGATTAAAATGAGACACAGTAATGGGCTCCCTTTACTATGTGCCGGCTGAAAACTTATATTCAAAACCATTTTATTGCAATCAAAACAGCTGGTTACTCTGCAAGTTGTTTAGTCAGGTTGGAGACTCTTTTAGGCTTCCGAGCTTCTTTTTTTTTTCATGACGTGGAGTCAATAATGTGTCAGAAACATTCCTCAGTGATTTTAATCAGCACTGACTAGCTGAACTGAATAGCTTTGCAGCTGAGGCAGATGTGTTGGGTTCGCATTTGTGATAAAAATCTCCTGCTTCACCATAACCCATAGGAACCTACTAGAATGAATTGTAGTGATAAGAGAGTCAATTGGAATACAGCTATCTAATCTTGTTCAAAAGACCAGTTTTTAGCAGTTTGGCTTAGCAGTGCTATTACTTACATCATATTTGCAGTAACTGCCACTCAAATCTATACTGTTTTGGCCAAAACGGTATGGACTTGTGCAGCTGATGTAGGGATACATGTTTTTTGTAAATGTAACTCGGATTTTTTTAAATGCGACTTACTGAAAGCAAAATACTTAACATATTTCCCGGAGTGAAGCAACAATGTGATTTATAATGGAAAGAAAATAAATTGTTACTTCTAATCATTTCAATCAACCAGTTAGCTTTCTCAAATATATTGTAATCATAAAAAAATAAAATAAAAATCTGTCAATATTGACAGCTACTGCAAAAAATAAATAAATAAATAAATCCACTGGACTTTATTTCCAAGTTTGAAGGCATTTTGCTTCCCATCCATTAGGTCTGAGGGTTTTGACCCAATATGAGCAGAATGGTGTAAACGGTTCAATGCAGTGAGGAATGCTCAGATGTTTATATTGGAAAAACCAAACGACCTTTCCACAGATGCATGGCTCCACACAGGAGAGAGATCTGTTTGCCTGTTTGCGGTACATCTACACCTTATGGACAGACATTATTTTGAGGACCAGAATGTTCACATTTTTGGACAAAGAAAACAGATGGTTTGAGAGGGGCGTGAAGGAAACCGTTTATGTTTAGAGAGAAAACCCAAACTCAGAGGGGTTGGACTCAGGTTTCACCTTAAAAAACCTACAATGCAGCAATAGAGTTGATTCCTTCCTGCTAACATCTCATCCCCCATCACTATGCAGGGGACTAAAACATCTCACCTGGTCAGCCTGGCCAACAATGACCCTAACAACTCCCTTTTTAGAGGCATAGACCAGTATCAGGTATTGCAGGCTAACAAAGATCTATACAACTCCCCATTCCTAAGGGGCATATCCATTCTTCCGATTCTATTTGCATGTTTTCTAGGACAAAACATTTTGAATTGAAAAACCTTCCTGGATGGGAAGCAGAAAGTCTTCAAAGTCCAGTGGATTTTTTTTTTTTTTTACTTTTTTGGAATGACTATGACCTGGATGACTAAGAATCTTCAGCAGCGTAAGACAAAACAAGGCTTTGCTTTGGTCCACTCTATAAAGTTTGGAACTCAACCCTAATTCTTTTTTAATTTAAAAAGCTTCCTGGATGGGAAACGAAACATCTTCAATCTTGAAAACAAAGTCCAGTGGATTTTTTTTTACTTTTTTGGAATGACTATGACCTGGATAACTGAGAATCTTCACCAGCATATTGACGACTACAAAAAATGTAGAGGTCCCAATTCTAACAGCATCTAGATAAAAAGCATGTAACAATTACACATAAATGCGTATCAGTTTGATTTGTTCAGATTGTTTTTATTTGCACAGCAACGTAAAAATTTCCTCCCCCTCAATTCATTTCTTACCATTGGTAGAAAAATCTGATTTACAAAAGGAGCATTGATGAGTGTTTGGGATAGTGTGCTGGGGTACAGCAGTGCAGAAGAACTGAAACCAGGCAGGATAACACTAGTTAAACCCTTATTTGGGTACCATATGATCAGATGATTAACTGCTACAGGAGTAACTCTGATGAACATCTAATTCTTAAGTGTGGCTTATTGTAAACACAAGACTACAGAATGTGCACTATGGAGGTTATAAAACCATGGAAGGGGCTTTATTCTAAACCAGCCGCATCTGGACGGCTGTTCAGGACAGGCTCTGAAATACAAACTCTTAGTGCTGATGTTGGTTCCCATTAAACCTTGTTTTAATTTAACGTGAAAGAACATATAGCTTAGATGAAAATGCTCAACTCAACCAAATCCTTCCAGACAGACATGAATTAGTGTAAAACATTTACAAAAACCAAGAACACACAAAGCACATGAGGTAAACAAAACATTTTCATGGCACCATCCACACTAAATATATTTTCCTGTCAAAGCTTCACATCAACTATTTATCATTGAACAAATGATAGTTTACACACTTCTGCTTAGCACAACTTGCAGCTTTATAATTACTAATCAGTTTTTTTTTTCCAGCGGATTGTATCTATTATTCCAATTTATATAACAATAATTATGTTATTAGTAGCAGTAGTGGCTCAATGAAACAGGAAACAACAGTAATTGCCCTTATTGACCTATCCCTTTTGTTTTGTAAACAAATAAAAAGTCCATCCCCGCCCAGCCCCTCCCCCTTCCCAAAAGGTGACAGTCTTTCATCTCTGTCTCTATTCAACATCATCCAACAAACTGAGCAGTTCCTGAGTTTTATAACTCATCCTTGAGTTGAGAGTCTGTGCCTTCATCGTCTTCCTCTTCCCCCTCCTCTTCTGGTTCCTCGCCCTCTTCCTCCTCGTCTTCTTCGTCCTCTTCCTCGTCATCCTTCTCATCCTCTTCCTCCTCATCGTCCTTCGCGTCATCTTTCCTGTTCTTATCCTCCTCCTCTCGCTTCTTCCTCTCCTCTTCCTCTTGGCTTTCCTTCATCGTCCTCTCACCATCCTGAAAAAGGAAATGCACAATAAAAAAATAAATAAATAAACATTCAAAACTGATAGAAACGAAACGTTGGCAAGCAGAGAGGAGGCATTATACTAGGAGCATACCTTAGTTTTACCCCAGGTTTCGTTGCCAACTTCTTCAGCCAGTTTAGGATCATTGGTGATAAGGAAGTTGTCAAAGATGGTCCCAGATTTCACCTTTAAAAAAAAACAACAAGTCAGTCAGTGCAAAACGTCTAAACCTTTCAATAAACTATTATATTAATTTCCAAATCATCTATTCTTTTCAGCTTTGAATCCTTTGGTGCTGAATTTAAGGGTTTCTGATTTTGTTTTGTTTTTTTCAAAGCAAAGCTTTATGTGTCTTTTTCTAACAAGTTTTAAAGTATAAATACAAATATATTGATATTATATAAATGTTTATACTGTGGTCAGAATTAAAATAGTGCTAACAGCTGAGACTATAAGGACAGAAGGACAAAGGAATGAATAGACGGATAGATTGATGGGATGACTTGATGGAGCGACAACAAGCTGGATATATGGATGAACAGAAGAATAAAGATGAATGGATTGACAATAACAAAGGTTATTTCCATGGCAACTCCCCAAATGCTGCATGCATGCATGCAAATCTGTGCTTATTACTATGTTGTGGCTTACAGGATGAAATCAGAGCTAATAAGAATTTAATTTTTAAGCATTTTATTCTTTCCATATCAAATAAAAATAAACATGTTGCCTTGAAGTTAGTAAGGAATCGAAATAGATAAAAAAATAAAACCCTATTATAAACCTTTATTTATAAAATTAAAGCTGGTCTTCGTAACTCCCTTATAATCACATCTAAATTTGATGAATTGGGAACAAATTATAGTCAGACTGACTTAAATAGTTTTATTTGTCTTCATCAAGACCCCTGAGCTGCTTTGAGCTCTGATAGCTCAGTGTGAAAAACAGCAGAAACCAGGCTGTTCTTTCCTTCCAGTCTGTTCCTCTTCTTGGTTTGATGCGTGTCACAACCGAAGGTAAACTCAAAGAAAAACTTACTTTTTGGTTGATGAAAGCTTGTTTAATTTGTCAACTGGATCTTCACAATGCAAACAGATCCCAGTCCTATTTTATTTTGCTACCTAAGAAATAAAATATTTTCATGCACCCCTTGCAATGCAATCGGGGTAAGAGGACCCCTGGTTGGGAATCAATTAACTTTTTTCTCTTCCCAGAATTCCCCCTCTCAGTCAAAAGTATTGATGATTGTCCAAACGTGGAACATACAAGAACTGATTATTAATCCTCTGTCCTTCCATATCAATGGGGTTTTTTGCACCATGTTTTTTCTCCCACACTGTTTACATTTGATCACTACTGCACTTTAAGGAATGGAAATGTCATGAGAGATGTACAAAACAAAATTTTGTTTTGTATACACTCTGTGTACAACATGACAAATCCTAATTTAGCTGTTGTAATGTTATAGGGGACTGGATGTAACCCACCTGCCACAGGTCCAGCCCGATCACGCCGATGCTGTCATATTTGTAGATCTCTGGGTCGGCTGTGTATTCTGGATTGTCAATCTCAGGGTGGACCCATTTGCCTTTGTATGCAGGGTTATCAATCTCTCTTGGTTTCCACTCGCCCTGCAAGCAAAGAAAAATTAAAACAAAAACACACAATGTGGATTATGTCAATAAAATAAATAAAAACATGAAACCATTTAGAGAAAATGTCAGAAAGAGACTTTAATTATTAGTTATTAGGTCCGAAACTGATGATTAATTTGTGAATTGGTTAATCTGTTGATTATTTTTTAGATTAATATTCAGATAACAAATGGTACCTTAGAAAAGACAATAATGGATGACAATTTACCCCATAAGGAGTTTCAGCGCTAATAATATAATACATGGGAAGGAACAAAATATTAAAAAGACATAGTGAATAACTGACCTTGTAGTCAGGGTTGGTAATCATGGGGGGCTCCCACTCTCCATCCATCTCATCATCCCAGTCGTCAGGCTTTTTGGCATCAGGATCTGGGATATTCTCAGGCTTGTCCCAATCCTTAAAAAAACGATAAAGACATTAGAACAATTTAATTTTACTAAACTATATCCTGAGTTATAGAGTGGACGGAAATCTCCGACTAACCTCAGGCTTCTTATCATCCGGGTCTGGAATTTTCTCCCTGTCATCCCAGTCCTCTGGCTTTTTGGCATTGGGGTCCTTGATTTTTTTGGGAGGCAGAAAGTCCCAGTCATCCTCCAGGTTGCCAGACTCGACCTTCTTGTTGTCGATCTTCACCTCATACGTGTTGTCTGGGTTGACGATCAGCGTGTACAAATGGGTGTACTCATCATCCTGTAAGCAGAACAGCAGCAGATGTTAAGAACTAGATAGAAAAAGACAAACATTCACCAAATGATCTCCTTTATTACAGTGTAATTATCACAATAATTCACTTTCCCCACAATATGTTTAGAGAAACTACACATTACATACCTTGCACCTGATATCCTTGTTAATCAAATGGTTTTTGCCTTTGTAGTTGAAGATCACATGAACTTTCTTTGTTCCTGGGCCACAAATATCAGGACCTGCAGAAGATACCAGACCAATTAACAAAAATATAAAGTTTTAAGCTATTTAAAATTGGGCAATCAAAATACAGTAAAAAACCCAAACAGATTTTCTCTTTACTAGAAATGTAACCAGTGGAGTCTCACCAAACATGATGTTGTAGACAGAGTCTCCATGCATGTCATCCTGATTGAGCTGAGAGGGAAACAGTTTGATGTAGCCTCCGCCACAGTCGATGTTCTGCTCGTGTTTCACAGTGAACTGGATGACTAGAGACTCGCCTTTGTTACTGAAGTCATCGAAACGGGCTGACAAAGCATAAAAGCGGGCATCCTGGCTCGTCTGCAGACCTGCGGTAAGAAAAGAATCGTCACGTGGAAGATCCCAGCTAAGGAAGACTTTAACAGCCTGATACTTAAAGTCATGTATGGCAAGTAACGGACAGGAAAAAATGATACTGCAATATAAGCAAAAAGGTTGACAGTAGCATAATGATAAACTTTCAGACCTGCTTACAGGACAAACAAAATAAAAAAATAAATGTTTGACTATCTGAAGAACATACAAAAAAAAAAAAAACTGCCACAGCCGTCGCTAAGCACTGGTAGCAACAAAAAGCAGTAAGAAGATGAAAATATGTTTTCTGTCAAACCATTGCGACAGTTTCAAATTCTTTTAATGAAACTAATAATTCAGTGGTTTTGCTGCACACTGCCAAGTGAGCTGTATGAAAGACAAATACCTACTACAGTAGAAGATGGACAAAAATTTGCTGTTTTGTTTAAATTTCCCATTAGAAAAAAACTTTCAAAGCATGAAAAAGTGACGTAACAATAATAAACCAGTATGAATCAATATGTTAACTTTTCTAAGCAACATTTCTTTTGTCTAAATAAAATAAGCTATATAAGCCTTGACATTTCTCTTTGAAAATCGTGTTTAAATGTACTATAACTGAAAAGGTTTCTGTTTTTTCCTAAATTACCAAATGGATTTAATTTGGGGAAGCAGGAGTGTGTGGCTCACCCAGAGCTCCATTCATACAAGAACCACCACTGCTTACTATTCGTGGATGATCAAAACTGCTTTATATATCGCTTATATTTAAAAGACAAGCCCCTTAGTCAAAGTGTGGCTCCTTTCCACCCACCTTTGTTCATCTCTGCATCTCCATAGAACTTCCCTGCAGTCAGGACAAACTTGCCATAGTCTGACTTGTGCTTGGATTCCATCCAGCGACTATTCCAGGCATCTGCACAGGAAAAAAATAAAACAAAAAATACTTAGCTTCAACATTCATCAGGATGATGCACCTGTGCTCCTGCTGATGAGGATAAAAATCAGTGCAGGTGCTCTTTACTGTGAGGAGAAATTGAGCATGGTGGGGGTATGCAGCAGGGGTGGGGGCAGTTTTGATGACAGCTGGGGGTAGCAAACAGATGGACTATAGCTGAAGGAAGAAGTAGGAGCTCCAAGATTATCTTATAAAACTAAATGGCATTTACCCTGATGACCAGATGATGCATGCATATTGTGTTTAAAAAATCTGAAATTACATGCATGCATTATTTCCTGCTAGAGCAGTTTAAAGGTGCACAGGATGAACATTCAATAGAAATTGATAAGAAAAAGGTAAATTCTCACCACCATCCTCGAACTGCTCTCGGAAATAGACCGAGGACTCGGCCAGGATGGAGACGGCAAACACGGCCATCAAAACCACCGACAGCCCGCTCATGGTTAGGAGCTAAATATCTCTCCGTCCGCAATAAATCTTAAAAATATTTAATTTGCCCGCCTGAATGGATATTTCTGCCTTATCTGCAATATATATCTATATTATCGGTCCCGTCTTTCTCATACAATCATATTAGAGCGCAGAGCCGCCGAGGAGAACCAGCCGCTCTCCTCTCTGCTCGGAACAGATGTCTGAATCTGATTGGTCAGCGGCTGAAAACCACACTCGCGGCTTCAAACCAATCGGAGAAGAGAGAATCTGTCTGTAGCCAATAGGAGAAGACCACGCGTTTGCCTGATACACGCCCCAAGAATGATGCTCCTGTATGGATCACATGGCTGAAGGAAAAAAAAAAGACATATGGGTGGAAGACGTGGAACTCCCTACTAGAATAACCAACAAAGAATAAACCGAGATAAATTATCCAGGATGTAAAATCAACAGTTAGATCTAGTCAGTTCACTTTATTTATACAGCGTCTAATCATAATTCAAATCATCTCAGGGCCCCTTACAGAGACAATAATGTCAGACTCAAACGTTTTTTTTGTTTGTTTTTTTGTCAGAGCAGTAAAATCTGTTTGCTTTTATAGATTTATGCAAATATGTCTTGAAACAAAGCCATATCCTGTTACTTGTTTAAATGATTGAATTTGAATATCAGTGTTCTGCATAGATGCATCTCATTCATATTTATTCGGATCAATTCTTTTTAATACTTCAATTCAAGAATACTTTTTAAATCCCAAAATAAAAAATAAATAAAAAACTGATTAAAAAAGTATTCTTGAATTGAATAAAAAACAAATGGAATATAATTCTATTTTGGTATTTAAAAAGTATTCTTGAATTGGATTTAAAAAACAAACAAAAAACAAAAACAAATTTGGACTGTTCTTTACTGCTGATTGTTGCAGTAACTCTTAGGGTGCTTTAGATGCTTTAGATAAGTTGCTTTTCTATGGCTGTTGGATTTAATAATCCCCTGTAGCAATCTGATGCTTAGCGTTCTTTATAGTGTTCTTTATTTTATAAAGAATTTATGTTGGTAAAATCAGCTCCAAAAAAGTTCCCTGAACTAAGTAATTTGCTCTGATGCTGATAGTCCAACTGATGATGATGGAAAAATCCCACATCTTGCTGCAGACACTGGGGCACTGAGGCTATTTATTGTCAACCCAACCCCTTCTTCCCTTCAGTCTGTTGTCTAGGTGAACACTGTGGGTATTTCATTTGTATATATATTTTTAGTTTAGATTTGGAAATTTCAGGATAACACAAAATCTTATGGTAATTCTCAATGGTGATTATCACATTTGCATTCATTCTAAGATATGAAGTCTTAAAAATCTGAGTACTACATACATCCAATCAATTTGTAGCAAGGGTACGTAACCTATACCAGAAAACTGGCTAATGGATTTTTGTTGAGAGCAGAGGTTGGATCCCACCTGAGAATTGAAATGTTAAAAAAAAATAACCAGAAATAATTATGCAGATTGAATTATAATCGTAAAATTGCTGAGTTAGATTCCTTCAGAGAGTTATTTGAACCACAACTGATTTGGAAACAAAAGTAAAAGAGGCTAACTTTATGACTCATTGGTCAGATTTTTTTTTTTTTTTATTAACAAGTTTATTTTTATTTCCACCACTTTGCGTTGATCTATCATATCCCAGTAAAACGATTAAAGCTTGCAATTAGTGCAAACTTTGCAAAATCTAAAAAAAATAAAATAAAAGACCCAATGAGAAGAAATACTTTAAAGGAACATAAACTATATGTAATAATGTGGCTGAAGTAACCACAGGGATAACTTTAAGTAATTCTGTTGATATTTGATAGATACTCTCTTTATTGTAAATGGATTGAGTGTGTATGTGGAAAAAAATGAGTTAGATTGAAATTTGATAGAAGAAAGAAATCCATTCAGACAGTAAACCAGACTAGCATCCAAATCTGAAGCAATATAATAAATATTTTACTGTTTCATTTATCATTGGCTCGAGATGTGAGCTGATTTGAACTTCAATCAACAAAATCTTTAGATTTTCCCAGAAGAATGGATCAGAGTGGAAATATGTTAAAAAAAATAGTAGGAATTATGACATTAAAAACACATCACAGTTTGTTTTTAAAAGAAAAAAGTTCACCAATACATTTACCGTCATATAGATTCTTCACAACGTGCAAACATGGCCTCACAAATGTCCAGTAACATTTTCCAGTAACATTTACACAACCGTTTTTTCAATGTCAGCCATGTTACTTTGTGAATAGCTGTTCATTCATCAGCATGATCTCACTCTGTGCAGACATTGAATGTAATAATTGTGTGTGAAAGTAGGAAAAGAAACTCTAAAGAACTGAAAGGTGGGATCCGGCATGCATGTCTACTAATGCATTAGATGGTGGTGCATTCATCTTAGACTAGAACAGTAAAATACAACATGATCTCATGTCTGCTTTAAAGTGTGCTTTAAAACAGATCCACAAACAGCACATGGCACAGTAAAAAAGTTTAACTATGGCACAAATAATATCAATAAATAAAAGGTGTCAAGGGGACAATATTTGCTATGCAAATGTAACACATGGATTTATAAAACATTTAAAAAAAATAGCACAACTTGTAACTGTGCAGAAAAGAATCTTAAATAAAGAGCTTAATGACAGGTAGCATTTTACATCACAGATCTTCAACTGGACACTGTGAGAGCTCAGTCCAAGCCTCCATGTTTTTGATATCGCTGACATGCCCTGCAGGGGGGCTCACGCTCCTCTCATCCAAAACCTCCGCTGGTGTTTGGCCATCTCCGGGGGGACCTGGTCAGACACGGTGTGTACGCGTCTGAATGGGGAGGGGGTTAGTGCGCAGAAATGAGCAAAGGAGAACACTCGATGGCTCTGTCTGCAGATGGACTGGAAAAACCAATGAGGACCTCCCCACCGGGCCGATGAGTCTTTCTCCCCTTCTACGGGAGAAAGAAGTTGATCCTCTGAGGGATGGACTTGCATCCTTGGGCTGAGAAGAGTCTCTCCTCTTTGGGCACATACAGCATTGCCTTGGCGACCTCATCTAGTGTTGCTTCATCTGCCTCCAGACCCCGTGCTGCGTAAGCATCCTGCGCACAGAGCTTAACATGGCGGTACTCCAGAGGCAGAAAAGGCACAAAGAAGTCAATCAGATGGTTGGACATTAGCTCACTCTGAGCAAAGCCCCCTGGAGGAGAGAGAGAGAATAAAATTGACTGACTAAAGCAGATTAAAGATTTGACTTTAGCTTTAAAAAACCTACAGAACAGCAGGGTTTACCAGGTGCAAACTAGCATCTGACAGCTTCAGCTTCATACCTTGTGTTTCCATAGTTTCAGCTCGAAGTCGATGCTCCAGGTCCTCCATACCAATGTCCTCCCGGTTCTGACCCGAGTGCCAGAAGTCCAGCGCCACATCATTAATTGTTGCACCGCCTATATTGCTGTAGTGAAGCAATTACATGTCACATAACAGCACAATCTGTGCAATGTTTAGCAGAGTGAAAACAAAACTCAGAAGCTGCACAAAGCTGACCAAAATAAATACATGGATGCCAAACTAAATTGAATATTTATAGTTTTTGAATAGTTTCTTATATTATTAAGTTGGATTATTCATTTCGCCTATCCAGAGGTGTTACTCCATGATTATTTTGGAAACGGGAGGACATGTTTTCAGATAATAAACAAAAAAAGGAAGCAAACACAGAAGGCAGGAATATCTTCTAGATTTGTCAGATTTGGAGGATTTTCAACACAAAGTAGTGAAAACAAACCAATCCTTCAAAAATGCAACATAAGTTCCTTAGATTGATGCTCCAACCTGAGGAAGATGAAGATGGCCCTACGGTAGCTGACCCCATCTACGTTGTCATAATGATCCATGAAGGGCTTGATGGCGTCGATGAGGCCTGGGTGGAGCTTTTCAGCCTCATCGAAGATGAACAGAGTCTGTGGGCAGCGCAGCACCAGGTCTCGGATGGCCTCCCTCAGCTGACCCTGAAACCAGTGAAGGGCAGCAGATCTAAAATCTCACGCCCATCATTCGAAGTTTATTTACAGGGCAAACAGGACAGATGTTGAAAAAACTAACAGAAAAATGTATTATATAGAAAATATGCAAAGGAATTAAATTATAAACATAAATAATATGATATGTGATACTTAAAACATCTAAACATTTTTTGCTAAGCCAGAAAAAAACAAGGAACCGAAAGAAATTATTATTTTTTTTTTTTTACTAACTCATGGAATAATATTTTATCCTTGTCTATTGTTGTGTCCTCCAAAATAAAAAAAAGAGCAGAAGCTCATCAGTAAAGAATCTCTTTTTTTACAGATCCAAAAAAAGCTTTTCTGTGTACTTTACGTGTCTGTAACTCCGCTATGTAAACGCCAGTTTTACAAGAGTGATTGTGTAAAAAAAAAAACGATGAGCCCATCTGGGCCATTGTGGCCTAGTTGGGCTTGTTCCAAGTTCCAAAAATCCATGTATACCTGTGGTGTTGGAGCATCAATATTTGATCAGAAGCATCAGCCCAGATGGTGGCCGTTATCGGCAGAGAGCTGGGTTACAAAATGCAGACTAAACATCTGATTAAGCAAGGCAACCGACCCACGAACACGTTTAACATGTTCCCGGAACACGGCGTCCAGCTCCGTGGGTTCCTGCATGTCTTACCTTGTATGTTTCCAAGAGCCTGGCGTGCGGGAAGTGGAACGGAGCGATAAACAGACGGACGCACTCGCTCTTCACCCCATCCCGGTAGAGGTTGTCAGCGATGATACGGGCCACATAGTTCTTGCCCGTTCCTGTCCAGCCGTGGAAGGAGAGCGTCAGGGGCTTGTTGGACTCTGGGTTGTTGATAAAACCCTGGATTGCTTTAAGAACCACGGACTGGACCAGGTGCTGCCCATGAAGCTTCGTCTGGAGGTCCTTGGCCAAACCTGAGTGGGAGGATTACACATACAGCATTCTGTTTGCAGACATTTCATCAGTAAAACATCTAATTTTTCACACAAAGAAACTCTTATCAAAGAACTTTAAAATCTACTTCCTTTAATATTTCTAAGCATGTTATTACCTGCAGATTTTGGAAATGTAAAATGCAGTGCAGATAAATCTTTGGTAACTTTTAATCTACCGCTTTAAATAACCATAACCTGATCAAGCTTCCTGAACAAATATAAGATTATGACAGGAACATTAGTCATCTTGATAACCCTTTTAAACCATTGAAACACTGATAAGAAACCAATAAATCCACAATAAACCAACTATAAAATTAGATCACAGGAAACAGTCAATACGTCCAGCCAAATTTCGTAAAGCTGGAATGACATGCGGTGACTAGAAAAATAGTTTCTATGACAGTAAATAGTGTAATGGAAAAATGGAGCCATCTCTTCCTGCTTCCACATGATTTTTCTCGAGGTAAAGTGGCAGCTGGGTGGTTAATATATCTAACGCACCTCATTACCAAGAGATCAGTAAGTGTGACTGTCTCTGTAAAAACAGACATTTGGGCAAACGTAATGGTAAATTTTATGAAAGTAAAAAAAAAAAAAAAATGTAGGAGGAAGCTGTTTCTCTCTGAAAGGAAAGCATGTTTTAGGTCCATCTTAAATAAATCAGCTGAATATTATGTCTATCATCCTAGATTCACTCCATACAATACATCATAGCTCTGAATTATCTGTGTTAATTGAGGTATTAGATTAGTCTGATGAAGGGAAAATTAATCAAGCGATTGGTGCATCTTTAGCAAATACATCTGACATGCCCGCTTCTGCAGGGCCATACGTTTGGACCAGGATCTGATCACTATTATTCTGAAGCACAACATGTGGTAATCTGCTTTTCAATTAAACATTGCTGGATCTAGAAATGGGACAATGATCCCCTAAAAGCAGAAGGTACTCCAAATAGATCCTAAATCAAATACCTTTAACAAAATAAAAGCCTATAACCTCCAGGGGAGCTCTGCAAAAATGCAAGAGGACAATTAATTCTGCCAAAGGTTGGAGATGCTGTTATAACAGCTGTATTGACAGTCATGGAAACTCTTCAATCCACTTTATTTATATAGCACATTTAACTAAAAATATTTCCAATGTGCTTCACATAAAAAAGCAGTAAGAGTTTAAAAGTGACACAGAGGACCCCACAGTTATGCAGTGTAAAAGCAAAGCTCTTATATTCCAGATGTTTCTGCCTTTAGTGATGAGGCAGACAGTTGAAAGCAGACAGGAGTGATGAGCTACCTGTGATGTTGTTGGTTATCCTGCAGTCCCCAGACTCACAGCACTGGCCCAGGCTGCAGTACCACTGATGCAGCAGGCTGGTGTAGTCCTGAGGAAAGCTCGGCCACAGGTCCCCAACAGGAACTGAACGCAGAAACAGAAACCAGCCGCTTTATAACACTGTAGCGATCACAGCATCGATTCACATGTTCAAGGCTCACCTTGCTGTGTGGAGTCATCCTGCTGCGGCTGACACTCCCCCTCCCAGATGTTACAGTAGAAGTAGTTGAAATAGTAAGTAGAGACGTTGCTAATGCTATCGAGGCTGAGGAAGTCGGCCTCTGCGGACAGGGCGCAGATCAAAGGGAGCAACCAGCGCCAAATCATCGGGGATCCGGACGGAGAGCCGCGAGGGCCAAGAAGACATGGGTCAGAGGAACCTGGGCCCCATTTATTTAAACCCGACAGTGACGGGCAGCTGCGGGAGTCCTGTCTCCACCCACACCACCGTACCGGCTAGGAATGATGTCCGGGAAGCACCGCGTTACGTCAGTTCCGCCTGACTCCACCCACAAGAAAAAAAAGGCTTTTCTCAAATAAAATCCTTTGTTCATTTGATTTTCTAAATAAACAGATTATACATGTCAGCTTTGATGTTTCACTCATTTGGGGAAACTGGCAGGATCAACTGTTTAAAAGATAAATGTTCTGTTTGAATGGGAAAGGATCGTCCTTCCCAGTTGTCGGAGTGACAGTTCGCTGGGTTTTACGGCAGGGGGAGCCAGTGAGTTTTGGGTGTAGAAGAATAAAGAGAACCGGAAGCTGGGTTACCGTTGAACATTCTAGCCCGTCTGTCCTGTTTGTTGCTTACAAGCTTCATATTTATGAACCCAGAACGCTCGGTTACAATCCAAATGTTACGTTGGAAAATGTAATAAGCAATGTTCCATCATTGTGCAATCCTTCAATTTGGTAGTGACTTATAGCTCATTTATTATCTAGTCTGAACCTGCCCACATCAATTTTATTTAATCTTTTAGTTGCTTTAACTGTTAAATATTTAAATTTCAGTCACAAAACTCAGAACTTCCAGTATAATAGCAGACTCTCAGTGAGTAGGTACTTCCCAACTTGTAATCACTTTCATGAAAATTTCAACCAGGGATATTCTAGAAAGGTTTGGAAAAGGTTTCAAAAAGGGAATCCTGGAAGTGCATTTAGTTTTACACTGTAGACAATTTAGCATTCAAGAGTAAATCTTTGAAGGAATTGAAATGAAGCTTTTTAATTACTTTGAGCCTAGGGCAGCACCTACCAGGTAAAAATCACAGGTATGTGATTTTTTTCCAAGTCATGTGAAGTGCATCACAGAATGAGGAAATTTTAAGATTTTGTACGTTTGAAATGAAGATGCAGTAGAATTTTTAAATTTCTTCAGACAGCATGTTGCAGATTTTCTAGAATATTGGTCTCTTTGAAAATGTTTAATTCAACATGCCCACCAGTCTATACCTCCATTTATAGCAGTTATCAGGAAGTGCTTCTCACTTAAATGTGTATGTAAACATATCATGAAATGGGAACTTTGAAAAATTGATAAAAATTCAGCTAGTTGATTGACAGTATAAACCTTTAAAACATGCCTTTAGCAAAGAGCAACCCCCTCAGTAATGCCCAATTTTAACAAAAAAAAAAAAGTAATTTCTTTGTCAATGCTTTATCCATGTGAAAGGTTTTAGTTGAACCTGGTTTGAATCTGGAAAAAAAAAAAAAAAACTTTTACCATTTGACAGAGATGGCAAAAGTACTCTCTCCGTACTTGAGTAAAAGTACAGATACTTGTGTAAAAAAATACTCTGGTAAAAGTGGAAGTACTTTACTCAAGTAAAAGTAACAAAGTACAGGCTTGTAAATTTACTTAAAGTATAAAAGTAAAAGTAGAAACTACTTTTTTCATGCAGTTACCTACATTTTAAATTGATGTCTGCCAATAGGACTAGATCTCCTTGAATCTCCAGAGATTGTGCTGGGAGACAAACCTTCTGGCAATGGCACATATTGATGTGCCATCCTGGAGGAGTTGGACTGCCTGTGCAACCTCTGTAGGGTCCAGGTAGCGCCTCATGCCAACAGTAGTGACAGTGGCCCTAGCCAAAAGCAAAACTGGTGAAAAAGTCAGAAAAGATGAGGGGGGGAATGTCAGTGGCCTCCACCTGTAAAACCATTCCTGTTTTGATTGTTTCCCCTCTAGTGCATCTGCTGCGAATTTCACTAACACTAAAGCAGCTGGAATTGATTACCCCCACTGCTACTTACATGACCAATATCCCAAAAGTTTAATAAACTTGACACTATACTCAGATTAAAAAAAATGTTCCTTTAATTTTTTTTTTAGTAGTATAGATTTATTGTAAATTGTTATGCCAGTCCATCACTGCTTGAAACTCCACCAACTCGGTCCATCCAGGTCACCATACTCCATGGTCTCCCACTTTCATCTCTGCACCTGCAAGAAACAGCTGCCGTTTAGAATCAAGACCATCAAAGATTAGAACAAATAAGCTCTTGACTGACCAAAACCTCAGAAATAATGGAACGGTTGGGTTATAATCAACACTCAATCATATGGCAAAATCTATTCATCACTGGCTGAAGGTCAGTTCATTCAAACCAAGTATTTCTATAAACTATTAAAAACTTACCTTCACATGAGATGATTTCCTGTAAAGACAAGAACAAGCCTTATTACAAGTCACCCTCCTACTTTAAAGTCTCCATTTTCCTGGGTTTCTCTCAGTAACATTTTGTCCACATTATAGTTCAGGTCAGACATTTGTTTGGACATCAATGAAACCCATATTTAAATTCTGCCACATTAGATTATTTTCTTACCAAAACTGGAGTTCTTAATTTCAAGTTGCAGTTCAGAATTGGTCAACCTGAAAATACAAAGGCATTAGTCAAATACACAATCCAGAAAGAGGGCCCCTCCCCCAAACCTGACCATGTCAGCTAGAGCTAATATAACACATCATGGTTAATCAGTCTTCAATACTTCATCACAGGTCAGAGCAGTCAGCCAATCCCACTCAGGTAGGAAGAGCCCGACAGTTTAAGAAATCACTCACCATGTTTCCAAATGTCTTCAGTTCTTCAGGAAGAGCCACACGCCAGAGGCTCTGTGAACAAAAAGCTAATTTAAAATGATGCAACAATTAAATCATTCAATTAGTACTAAACCCAGATCAGAGAATTACTTATGTCCTCAACTGGATCAGAGACCTGATTCAAACTCATCACATCTGAACTTCATTTAGCTTCAAACGATAAATTTAATTACCTGCAGAGCTACAGGGAGTCACAGGGAGATGTCCATTTCTACAAGGAGGCAGAGATACAACTTGTCAACATTGACTTTTAAACAACCAAAACATACAGATATCTGGTCGATACATCAGCTAGGAGCGAAAGACAAGAATGTAATCTTCATGGAATAATCTGCTGAACTATGCAGTCATCATTGTATCGAACCTTACAGAGATTTACTGTGGCTTTAAAGCTTACCTTCATCCACTGGCTCCAGACTCTGGTTCCTGAAGGACAGACAGTTAATTAACCAAAGGCTACTGTCAAATATACAGGCTAAGGTTGGTAAAGCTGATGCATCAGATAGGAGCGAAAGACAGGTTTCTTCTTCATAGTAATCTGTTGAACTATGAAATCATCACTGGATCAGCTATAATGATACCATAGACTAGTTCCTGTGTAAACATACCTATAGCTGATCCAAGACCTGGATCAGAAGGCAGGAGAGGCAAAGAACCTGCAGAGGAAAGGCTGATTATTAAGAGTTCAAGTTTAGATGATTTACTCTCCTAATTTACGGCTGTGTCAGAAGAAAGTCCTCTTTCACTCTTTTTCAGAGAGATTCCCATTGTTTTATAAACAAAATTCATCACATACAGTCAAAGAAAATATCAGGTATCAGTTAAGTGACTCATTACCTGCATGTCATCCAGATTGGTGGTGGTACCTGAAAGATGAATAGAGCAATATTTAAATAAAAGAATCTGAATAAAATGTAGTACACCCCGCCCTCCCATGTGCCTCAGAATGTGATTATTGGTGGTTGCTATATCGTCATCCATCTAGTCGAGAGTAGCAAATAATTGTCATCATTGTGGCACAAAGTTAACAGCATTAGGAGGCAAGATTGTTTCCCATGTGTGCTTCATTTGATGTAATGACACCAGCGTTTCTGGCACAATTTCACCAACTCCATGTACACAGAACAGGAGCTGGTGAGGCAAAGGCTCAGGCAATACCTTCAATTTAGGGCTGCAACTAAACCATTAATCTCGATTTTTGCAATTAGTAAGGGGACAGCAATAGCTTTTTAAAGATTTTTGCAAAATTAAACCAGGTGAAACTAAAAACCTTCTGAGGTCTGGATAGAGTATATTGAGACGAAAAATATTTTAGAATAAATGCAAGACATTTACTCTTAATACAATTTTGGTAGAATTGTTCATGCTGGTGTGCTGTCAGGCATGTTTAATTCTCTATGCTCCAGGTAATGATAAACCATTAATACATTTCAATAGCTTAAGTTAATCACTTCACTTCTACTCAAATCACAATCAGTTTCCCTTACTTAAATCAGATCATACAATGCATCTGCATGTTTTCAATTTGCATTAAGCATTTTTTATTTTCTTTTTTTACACAGCAAAATCTGATAAGACCACTCATTTATTTGCTTTAGTAAAATGGGAAATGCATAACATAGTGTTTGTAATAAATGACACCTTTTTAAATAATGCACAATTACTTATAAGGTTATGATCATTAATGATCTCAAGATACCTTCCTATAAATGGCTTGAATCAGTATTTGTACACCAGTTGACTACTAAAGATTTAATTACAGCCTTAAAAATGTACCAACAGATAGTGCTCACTTCATGCATCCAGACTGTACTGAAATCAGCTATATATTCCTAAAGTTAAATATTTTTCAGGGTTTAACTTGTGGAAATGAAACTTTTAAAAACTACAGGAAACACCTTGGGGAAAATCTGCCTCCAGCTGCTTAAACTGGATTTAGACTCACCTCCTTCAGGAAACTGGGTTACCCGAAAACCTGTGAAGGCATCACCGTTAGTGCGGTTAAGGAAATCAACTAATCTTAAGAATTAAATACAAAAGCCTCATTGTTAAAATTTCTCAGAAATCTCTTCTGTCCACTACTCTTACAAAATAATCATTGACCATCACATCATAATGTAATTCAGTGATAAAGGAAATACACGCACCAACACATTTGGCGGAGATTCACATAAGGTAGGCGATCCATGGTTTCCTTAAAAGAAGGAGAAAACTATTAGAACATACTTTAAAGTTAAGTGAAAACTTGATTGGGCTATTCTTAATGCGGCCTGCTCCTAGCAGGAGCTCTGCAGCTAGCATAGCCAGCCTCGCCTGTGGTCACAGAAACTTTCCCATGGAGTCAGAGTGTCGTATCTCATCACATTTACTCAGATGTCCCTAACAACACAAAGTTACATCATTCATCCATGGGAAGCACAGCGTTTCTGGCCTGAATGAAGGTGCAGCAGGGCTGCTTTAACCAGCTACATGCTAACACGTGGCTGAGGCCTAGAGGGGAGAATCCCTCTCAAAGCAACATTTTAATTCATATTAATTAAAAATTAATGTAAACTGCACCAACAGATGCAGAAAATTAAAAGACAAAAATAAAAAGGGAAAATAACAGCCCCATACATCTACGGCAACTCTAAGACAAGAACCTTACCTTGGAGTCAGGAGGAATGGGAGCGGGCAATCGGCGCAAGGGGATTTTATAGAAAACCTCGCAAAGGATCATGGGAAACAAAGTACGATTTATGTTGGCAAAAAAAAAAGTTAAAGTCGCATTACCACCATCTACTGGTACGGAGTGTGGCTCAAAATGTTTGAATTTTTAAGAATAATTATATTCTGTTATTTTATTCTTCTCAAAAAAAAAAAAAAAAAAAACCTAATTAAACGTGAAATTAGTTAATTAGTTATAAAAAAAAACAACTAATTAAACTGTTCCTTTCCTTTTTTTTTAAATGTTTCTCCATGCTCTCTAAATGCATCCAGTATTAATCTTTTTTCTATCATATCTTCTACATACCTTTGCTCTACTGTCTGATATCCTTAATATCAAAAGCTGCCATTATGTTTCTGTATTGAACTGTTAAGTTCTATTATGTCTCAGTCTTAATCTTCTCTCATCTCTCCTACCCTCTTTTTAATCATACAATAACATTATTTTCACATCATTCTGTCTGCCACCTTTCTGTAAATTTTAGTTTAATCATACTTATTGCTTCCGATTAGCAAGTTCTTATTGTAAGGTTTCCTTGTCCTGTTGTAAGAAGACATTTAATACTTTCGGCTGCTTAAATTAAGACTGTCATGGCAGCCTTTCATTATTAATTATTGGAATGTACAATTATTTAATATTAGTAGAAATGATTTAGGCTTGGATGCAATGTGGACACAGAGATCTGTGGGCCTACAAATACTCCCTGCTCCGTTTGCTGGGATCTCAGGCGTGGTGTTATGAAAAAGCTCCATATATTTTCATTTATATAAAAAAATGTATTCAAAAAAAATTTGGCCTTACCTTAAAAAGTAAGAGTTAGCAGTAACAAGTAAGTCTTTCACATTATTGTAGCACCCTAATTGGATTTTTTTTTCAGACTTTGACTAGGTAACAAAAAAGATTTTATCAGTACGGAATTACTGGAAAACCTTGGATTGTTGTCAGCTGCATAACCCAAATGCACTTTACTTTGAGGTCAAATCATGATCATTCTCTTTCTGGACTTTCTGTTGTAGAGCAGAAATCACTGTTCGACCTGAAGAACCCCTGGACCATCAAACGACCACCACCTTGCTGGACTGTAGCTGTTTCTTTTGCATTTGCACTAGTTTTAAGCCAGGCCTAAAGAGGCACACCCTCCATAGAGCTGTAGATTTGTCTCATTAATCCACAACATATTTTCACAAAGATCTTGGGAATAACCAAGAGGCATTCCCACAAATGAAATGACAAGATTTTATTTTTGGTCATCAGTGATTTCAGTCTTCTGAAGAAAGGAAGCATTTTTTTTTGCCTAATCTTAAGAAACTGGTCTTAATCTATGGCTGCAGCATGTTCTGACTTCTTTAGTGACCCTCTGGATAAGCCAGGGATGTGCCCTTTCAGCGCCCTAGAAGGCCAGACTCCCCTGTTTGACTTTTAAAGCCCCATCTACGGCTTTGTAAAGATTAAAAGACTAATGAATCAAAGGTTTTGTTTCCTATATGTTGCTGTTTTTATTCTGATCAGGGCAAGTGCTGCTTATTCTTCTGCATTTAATACGTTAACAGACAGCAGCTGTGGTCTCACAGGTCTGACAGCAAATACATGCAAATTCCTCATGTCAATTAACAGGAAGGACTGCTGTTTTTATAATAAACCAGCTTGTTTTTGATAGATTATTTATCTAGAAATAATCTATCCAAATAATAATGTTCTCTAAATCTTTTTTTTCTTAAATCATTATCTTAAACAAAAGGAAAACATGTTCAATGAGCAGATTGGACACTTTAAAGTTAGATAAAAACACTTTTACACCAATGTGCTGAACCATTTATAAAGTAAGAATGCCAACATTGTGCATATCTATTGTATTTTTTTTTTAACTTAATGAATCAGAATACATAAAGCTGTTTTTCTTCTTGTAACTATATTTAATATTTCCTTTTTTTTGTTGTTTTCTAGAGGACAAATGACATGAAATAAAAGGGAAAAATAGAAAATATGGGATTACTTTTTAAGACTAAGAATGATGCCAAAAGAATATTTTTGAAACACTTTAAGTTAGACGAGTAGATTCTGAAACCAATAAGAGTAACGCATTTCAATGGGCTGTGATGGAGCAGAGACACACCCAAGGAACCAAAGCTCCCAGTTCTTTGTTACAAAAAGCAGCAAAAAGTTTTTTAAGAGCTACAAAACCATCTTTCCCAAATCTCCTACTATTCTACATAAATGAAACTGCCTATACATCGAAAATGTAGAGTTCAGGTTTTAAAATCCCAATGGTAAGGATTAAAATGGGAGTCAGTCTTAGTTTGGATACTTTTAAGACTGCAGCTCGTCTAACCCAGGCTTTCTGGCAGATGGGCCAGAACCACCTCATTCATTCTTTTGTTTTTAGTGGAATAAAAGCAGAAATTGAAATAAAAATACTTTCTGTATTTATTTGTAATCTACTGCTCTATAACAGTTTAAAGCCGTATGCTGTGGTCTGTTTAGGGTAGGCAGAGATAAAGGGAACACATGAGAGGTCTGTTCCTTCAGTAAACTGTTTACACCACAGGTCAAATAAAGAAGGAAGAGTGACGATTTTAATTGATACCCTTGGTAAATTTAAAATGGCATTTTAAATTGTAAAACAACTTTCTTCTGGAAGACTGGAAATTTTATAGGTCTGTTAAAATCTGATAATACAATGTGCCAATAGATAAAAAACAAACTGTAGTTTGACTTGCATTTTATGGAAAGCTTTCATAATCACTGCATCTTTATGTCTAGTTTCTTAACTATTCTGAATAGTCTGTGTTGTTCCAACTCATCCTTATTAAAATGTGGTAGAAGGTCAAAAGTGATACAGTGGAAAGTTTGATGGTTTGAGAGGGGAAAAAGCATTAAACATCCAACACCATCCTGAAAGATGCAATTAATAACGTCCCCAGGCAGACACTGCCATAGACTGTATGCACGGCAGAGGGACAATAATGCTATTTTTAACAAGCTGTACAAGAGAAAAGGGTGCAGTTACCTCACAATACATCCAGTTGGGAAACAAAACTGCTGTATTCAATTTGAGTGAGGGTTTCGATTCGATTTTTAGTTTTTGAGCACATCTTTTTCAACAAACCATAATTGAAGCTTCAAATAATAGTTTTAAAATATGTGATCAGCTCAGTTAGTTCTCAGAAATAAATGTCCCATTTCTTATTTCAGTCATGAAAAGCGGTTGGCGGAGGCTAAAAACTGGGGCTACTGGATGTTTCAGCATGACATTAACCCAAAACATCACTGAATCTGAGCAGCATTTCAAAACATTCTCACTGATTCAGAAAATTATGGTTCTTTTTAAAAAATGGCAGAAAAAAAATTCTCATCTCTTGTAAAGCTCTTTTTAGCTATATAAAAAAAACAACTTTATATTTCCTTAATCTAAAACTTTTTTCACTACGAAGTGAATGGTTTAAAAACCTTTATGCTGGTTATGCAAAACAAGACCTATAATACAAAAATTAAAAGATCAAATTTCACAGGAAATAACTCTCAGAGATTTAATATAATTCTTCAATTATCAGGAGAGTCAGATACAATCAATGGTTATGATGAAAAGGAAATAAAAAAAAATGAAACACATTTGTTTTGATTGCTCTCTATCAGGCAATACTGAAATGAAAGGCAAGGCCTCTACTCAACGAGTTTTACAACAACAAAAGAAAAGCATGGAGGAAAGAAGAAAAACAGAGGTAAACCTTCAGTTTAAGACCAGGTGGGCAATTTTAAAGGCCTTTTCATTTGTGTTGATAATTAACTCTTCAAACTAAGATAACATGGATTGTTTGCATCACTGTTCAGCAATTTAGATCCAAACAAAAGCTTATAAATCACTCATGTTCAAAAGGCTTGTTGACCAGCATGTGGTTCTGAATAAAAAAGCAGAATGTGTAAAAGAAAAAGACAGGAACCAGTTGAGTCCGTCTACACTGCTCGGTCATCACCGGCAAGCGTGAAGAAGAGAGGTTGATCTGCAGCAAACAATGGGAGACTAAATCTTCATCATGGAGAAAACATCATGTAAACAATTGTTTTGTTCAGAAATGCTTTCAGGGAACCATTTGCCATCCATCTCAAAGTTGGTTTATATATATTATTCTCCTTTTTGGCATAACTGGCTTTGAAACTTAGCATTGCATATAGTCCTTAAATATATTTTCCACCTCTCCTAATCTGTGTAAGTTTCATGGCTCATGTTTTGCTTCTGGATAGCATTAAAGATACAAAAACAAAAATGGCCGCTCAGAAGTGGAAAACAAAACGATGAAAATCAAAATGGAATGATTCCTAAAGAGGTGAAGCCATCATGTTCATAACCCCAATAGTGTATAATATTGCCAGAAAGAACAGAACAAAATATTGGAAATAAAAAAAGAATATATATATATATATTTATATATATTTAATTATATGTATATCTATATATAAAGATCAGTTAGAACTAGTTGCAGGCAAGCAGAGAAGTTCTCTCCCGCCGCTTTAAGATTCATGGGCTCCACTGTTATAAGGCTGTCAGACTCTGGGAGGGTGCAGCAGCTTTCTTTCCTCAGTCAGATTCCCTGAGATGTAGAGCGCCAGTTATTTTACTTGAATTGTACATCAACGACCACAAGCCTCCAGCTCCCCCTTTTATAAAGAAACAAAACCAGGTATACTGGAACACAAGTGCTTCTCTGGATCATGGAGTGTGGATCTAGAAGTGATGGCCGGCTCTCGCATCTCCTCTCTGCGGTGCCGTATGGTGGGGGGAGGAGGAGGATGAGGGGTTGGTATCGGTGGTCAGCGCAGGGGAAATTTGCCCAAGTAAGGAGAAGAGCTCATGTTTACATCTTTGATGCTTTCATTCATTTCCTTTTTTTTAATACAGTCAGATGCAAAGCAGTGTACAGGTTCAATCAATCATCCCAAGGCTTGAATAAGAAGTGTGTTTTTTTTAATGCAAAAGAGTTCTTATGAAGACTCCTGTGTCTGTGCAGATTTCTTTTTGAACTTCTGTGTTCATCATAGCGAGTGATGCTTTATCAGTGCCTCTGAGAAGCTAATCTCTTTAATAGCGGCTCGTCGTAGACCCAGCACTCCCCGTCTTCATGGAATAGCTGAAAAAAACAAAACAAAAATAAGAAAGACCTTTTCTAGCACACAAATCTTTTGTTTTACCATTACCATCCTTCACTTATATCAGAACCAAACTGAACTTTTTGGTACTAATGCATAAGTCTGTGTGTAGGGGTTGGCATTTATCGTATTGTTTATTTGTGATAAACGTTTAGATGATGATGATGATTTTGATTTATCGTCTAAAGAAGCTTCAGTTTAGTGATCTGACTTTCAGCTGAGGTTTACTAACAGCTGGTATCAACATCTGTCTGACTGATCCATGAGAGTAAAATATGCCCACTGTCACTTCAGCAGATTGCATGTGCTAAAGGAAATTATACTGTTGCCACCAGGGCAGAGCCAGCCAAGAATGCCAGCACACATCTGAGGGTGTTTCTTTTTATCTGGGTAGGATGTGAAGTTTTAGATGCTGGCTGGAGTCTAGAAGGTCACAGTTAAAAAAAGTTGAAAGAAGAACGATTGATATAATCGCCCCTGTGTCATGGCAACATAAGCAGAATGTCTCACCCTGGTTTCCCACTGCTGCTCCTTCTCCTTCCTCTCCCTGGCTTCAGCTCTTTGTTTCTCCTCCAGACGATGTTTGGCCTCTGTTGCTGCATCAATGTCTTTAAGCTTCAGGTTCAGTGTCACATCTCTCCATAGCCTGCAGCATAAACCAGGGTCATCAATCCTTACATCTAGATAAAGACATGTCAAAAGTTGACTTTGTCCAATTACAGCCAATTTTCTTCTCACCTCCGGGACTCGTAATCCAGCTGGTCCTCTAGCTTCCTCACCTTCTTCTTTATGATGCTCATTTTCTTAGTGTCTATGAATGATGCATTCTCCTATTTTAAAGAACAGAAAACATGATCTAAGAAGTGGAACATAGCACTTTGTCCATATACCAATTTTTCCGTACAATAGGGAGCACCGTCCATGGATGGTCTGTTTCTCTAACTTTTTTTTTCTTATATATAAATGTGAACATGACTATTAGCTGCAGGTCTTTGTCACTTGGGAAAAATAAAGGCTTTTAAGTGCACCTAATGGTGCAAAATATATATTTCAAAAACTGGCAAATACTTCAATAACATTCAACATTTTTATATGTTTTCTTTCATCATTTTTCTGACTACATGTCTTGCACACAAACACCCAAAAGTATTTCTAAAGACAACAGATAGAAATAAAATTATTTATAGTTTTCCTGCTTTTCCTTAACTGATCATAACTTCAAATGTTACAATTGAAAAGAAATAGTCTTACATAAAAAAAAAATAAAGCACTGAATGCCAGCTTTAGTAGTTGACTTTTTTTTTTTTTTTTTTTTAGAAATATACAAAAACAAATAAAGGTTAATAAAGCTTAAAATCAGCGGATCCATGGTTTATAACGAATTCTTGTTTTTTCTTTGTCAATTTTCAAATAAATTTCCCCATCTATCTCTTGGGCACAAAAAGTCATCTTCTAAAGAAAACACAAGTTAGATCATGTATGAATATATAACACTGCTTGGCCAAAAAAAAAAAAAAAGATGGCACCACCCAAAAAACCAGTCACACAGTAATATTTAATTGGGCCCAGTGTTGCATTAATGATGGTAGAGTCTGACCAAAGAGCAAAGCCAGACATTAATAATGGAGTTCAGGTGTGGAGTCTTTAAATCCTGGCATGTCCATCTTGGAATATGCCTTAAAACTCTTCATGTAATAACCTGGTCATTCAGTATACTCAGGTAGTCAGCTGACCTCATTCTATGAGTTCATGTTGTTGCCAAAGCCAGACCTGACAAACTGCAGCAGCTCCAGATCGTAGCTCTGTAGGATCCATACTAGTATTATTGGATATTTATTCATTAGGTGACACCTGGGTGGTGGGTGTGTCCCTGAGAAATGTATGGGAGGTTATCTTGAGTCGTACATCTGACAATCTAACCCCAAGTTTAGCCACGGATCGCCCTCAATTTGCCCTGTTTTGCCGCAATAGCTCTGCCCCCTCTTGTATAGTAAACTGCAGGAATGATGGGTGCACCAGTTTATCCACCTCTCTTTTTACCCTGAAGCTTTCACCGTTCTGAAACTGAAGACACCTGGACTCATCAGACTATATACCCATTGCTCCAGAGTCTAATCTTTATGTTCCCTAACAAATTGAAGCCTTTTTCCTCCGGTTAGCTACTCTAGTTAGTGTTTTAGTTGATGGGACCCCCCTATCCTTCCAGCTTTTAGTAATGTGTTGGACAGTTCTTAACCAAAGAGGCATAGCTTCTGTAATATCCTCAGATGTTTCCTCTGCTTGCTGCATGCCAATGGTTTAAACCCTCTGAAACAGACATGATTTCCAAAAACAGAATGTATTGTTCAACATGATAGTTTAGTAAATGGCAGATGGTCTTTAGTTGTGTAGCTTTTTAAACTCCGGGGTCTCCAAAGCACTTTACACCACGGTATATTCAGTTTTTAGCTGCCATCAGAGTCAACTAATTTAAATATTTTAATATTTAGTTAAAAAGAAGATTTAATACAAACTAGTATTGAAATTAAAAGTTCAATCATAAATAAATAAATAACTTTCAGTAAATGTATGTCATTTATGTACATTGGTTAAAAAGCACATTAAAATGTAACGAGGAAACTATGTTTTTGCTACGCATGTCACGTTGTTGCCCACAGGAAAGATTGATTGACACAATTCTTTTTTTCACCTGTTTTTCAAGAAAAGCTGAATAAGCTATCTTTATTCCTCTGGAGTTTATGCGGCCAATGAGTTCTGACTGTTACTCCTCTCGAGATAATCAAGGCTCAACGTCATTCTTATGGGTTAAACAGGCATTTATTTGGGCTTTGTAAGACGTGTCCACATTAAATGGCTGTTAAACCCATAAGAGCGACGTTGAGCCTTGATTATCTTGATAACACAGTTATTCAAAGACTACATTAATGGGGGCAGGCCTCTCTGTAGCCACAGCTTCCCAGGGCTCACCGAGAGAAGGGACGCCTCAGTACTGTACGGCCCTCTGACCACCATCACTTCTCTAAGAAATTAGAAGCAACTCATAGCACCACATGGGGTTAAATAATGTGTTGCCAGCTGAAATATAACAACCCACACAGTAATCGTCTTCTAGGATGCTCACATATATTTGCTGGATTACATCCAGGTGGTGATTTATTATTTTGGCCAAGCAGTGGATATTCTGCTTAATTTTTCCAAATTCCACTTTTACACTCACTACTTACATAAATATTTATGACATAACCAATTGATTTTCAACACATTTTAGGTTAGATATAAGTGTGAAGGAACCTTGCTGTAGTTATAACCTTGTTGGGGAAATAATGTAGGTTTAGTGTCCCTTTCTGAGAGGGATGGGGGTCCGTTTCTGTAAGCAAATACTATCAACCATCAACAGCCAACAAAACAAGAAGCATGAACTCACTCCAGTTGCCAGCTTGGAGTACATCACTCCGTTCCATTCTCCTTCAATGGAGCAGAAAGATTTCTTGTCATTTGGTGCGCTGCAGGACAAATGCAGAAAAACATTAAAATATTGTACAATTCCACCCAAAAGTAGACTAAGTGGGTGAGATGCTGCAGGGGCCTGAAACTTCATTCATCTTACAAGATTTCTGCTGTGACCCTGTGCTTCTTTCCGCCATAGAAAGGTTTGGTGTGGAATACGATGGTGGCGCTGTAGCCTGACTTTGAGCAGGAAATGTTGCACTCTCCACCCAACTCCACCCAGGGCACGGTCAGAATCGACCTAGAGAGACAGTCTTAAGGTCAGATAGTCCACCGCCTCCACTCATCACAGATAAAATTGGCGTACTGTTGTACACACCTGCCGTATCCATTAGGGAAGGTAAGAATATAATGTTCATCATGCTCCAAACACGACACACAGCCTAGACAGCAAGCAGAGGAACATCAATAAAACAATCATTATTTCTTGCAACCATGCTGCGTTTAAAGAGAAGTCTCACCCACCTTGACCGATGTTGTGGACCCCTATAGACATGCCAAGAAACTTGGACTTGGTCCAGATGTGAGCATTGAACTGGATCTTCTTATTTAAACACTCCGCGTAAAATGCAGAGACTACAAGGAGAATAAAAAACAAGATGAAGGAGGAATGACAGAAATAAACAGAGACGACAAGCTGCTGTTAGGCTGCCGTCTGTCACAGCGTTGTGTTTATGAAACATTCAACGCTACAGCTGTCAATGCTGACAAGGACATGTTCTGTCACTTACTGGGCGGGTGGTGAGAGACCTGCTCTGCCACGAAACGCACACTGTTGGGTGAAGACCAAGGAACTGGACCGTCTGATACGGCCTCCTGGAAGAAACAAAAAAACAAGTCAGATCAAAGGAACATTAAAAACTTAACAGAATCCTTATAAATACATTGAATTTCTGGTTGTAATACGACTTAACAGGATCAGCATAAGTGGTGTGAATACATTGTTAAAGTCTAAACAAAGCCCTGAGGTTTTCTCACCGTAGGTGGAGGCGGCTCTTCCATCTCGTTTGGAAGATCCCAGTGGCAGAAGAAGACTTCCCCCAGGATTGGATTGTAAGGTTTTTTGGCCACTGAACCTTTCCTGCCTGCATGGAAAGCAGACAGGAACCACTTCACCACCTGAACCATGCGTTCCCTGGGCTCCGGTTGGTCAGCGATACTAGTTAGACATCCAGCACAACAGGGTTAAAAAAAACGTTTCAACTTCTGCATCATGGATCCTCTGCGGGGAGAAGTCACAAAGCGCATACCTTACAAATAAATCAGGGTGTGCAAAGAAGTCTGCATACATCTCTAACAAAGATCTCCTCTCTAGGATGAAAGTAGGCAGAACCACCTGATGGAAAAATCAAACAGCATCATGAAAATTTGGATATTTACACACCAAGGCTAAACCTCTCATTTTCAGGAGAGCTTACTTTAGTGAGGTCCATGCCCAAACGGACTTGTGACAGCAGATGCATGATGACGCTCTTGTGCTCTTCCACAGACTCCCCCTCACCATCGTCATCACGGTCGTCATTATTGTCAAACATATCTGAACACAGCGGCAAGAACATCAGCAGTCTAATTTTATTAATGCTTTGATAAGAAAATTCCCGTTTTCATCGATTCTGCTTTTATATTTTTGAACCGCTGACTCAAAGAAATCTCAGTCTAATGTTCTGTTGGTGGAAAATTTTTAATAAACTCATGTTTTTTTAAGTGACAGGCTGACAAAATTCATTTTTCAAATTGTTAAATCCAAAATGTGCAGCCAACCTATACAACGGGAGTAATCTAATTAATTTAGTCCATCGGTTTGTAATTTATGGTCAAGACGTTCACGGAAGCTACATAGAATGATTCAATTCTCTGTTAGTCCAGTATAACAAAAACCTTAATGACATCAATTAAAACCTTGCTAATGTGATGTTAAAGAAGTATGAATAGGCATAATCTAGCAAGGCCGACCTGCTTCTCCCATGTTAGATAAAACACACTGATCACCAAATAAGACAAAGTCTTCTGGGCTTCCTTTGATTTAGGAGAATGTTTCTGAACCCCTCTCTGACCAATCAGCCACAGTTGAACAAAAATTAAATTACAGTAATATAAATAATATTCCCCTTTAAATTAGAACAGAATTTGCCATCAATACCATCTTTCGAAGTGACCTTTCAACTACACTGAGCCCCCCAAGGGGGCATACTTCCCACTTTAGGATCCATTGGTGTATAAAGTTTTAATCCTTTTATAAAATACTTTGAAATTCTACATTTCAAGAGTTTTATTGGAGGGCAGAAGCAGACCTTATTATTTTGGTAAAATAAAAAATAAAAAAGATTTTTAGGGCAAAAGTAAAGGTCAAAATAGAGACCAAAACAGTCATTAGCCCTAATATGGTAATAAACAAATAGTGATTCTATAAGAAATGCATGAAAACCACTGAAAGAAGGAAACAACTTTTTTTTTAGTTACATTAGAATATTAATGCTGATAAAGGAACCTATTTTTTCTTAGGTTTTAACTGGGCTAATTTATTATTTTCCTTTTACTTTTTAAACTAGCTTTCTTTACTTGATTGACAGCAGGTAACATTAGGCAGCATTAGATAACTTAAGGTTTTCTATGAAGGAGTTACACTCTGCTTTAAAACAAGGTGGACCCTGCAGACAACATCTGACCTCTCGATTTTGCCTTACAGTTTGCTATACAGTGGTGCTTATATTGAACTTACCATTTTTGGTACCTTGGATAACAAAATGCTTAACAGGAGGCTCCAGCTAAACATTTGTCAGTTTGAATGGACTGTAAAAATCTTTCCATATTTTATCTAGTCAGTGTGTTACCTGGATCTGTGGTGCCGTTTGACATGGTTGAGTTGAGGGACTCTGTGGTTTCAGGCCGTTTTAATGATGTTTGCTCGTTAGTTGCCGTGGGAGCAGCAGAGGGCCCTGAGGGACTGGGGGCAAAATGAGAGGAGAAAATGGAGATGAACCTGGAGTACCGAGACAAGCCTTTCAAATTGAAGTTGTTGATGCAGCTGGATGTTTAAGGATTCAAAGCAATCTTTCTGCACCAGAGATGCAGGCCGGCCACTGGAATAGAGTGCTGCTCTCATTACACAAAATGCATCCCTAATAGGCAGTTGAGGTTGCAAGAGGTGGGGTGCTGAAAACACTCACTCTGCAAAGTGTTTGGGTGAAATGCTGCTCTGGTTATACTCGTCAGCATCATAAAACTCATCCTCGCTGGAGGAGTAGGAGAAGTCTGGCACTGAGTGTGAGGGCAGGGGGATGTGAGTCGGAGAGGAGACGCCGCTGCTGGGGCCGGACGGGCCACTCCCTGTTAGACCAGAAACAGAGCAGACGTCAGAAGCGCAAGCGTCTCAGTTTGGTTTATGACAGTTAAATCAGCAGCATGATGAGCAAGCAGAGCATAGAGGTATTAAAGCATCTTTAACACAGCGACTGCCGCCTCTGTGGAGCATAAAGACTGCACAGCTAGGCTTAGTTAATGCACAGCACAGCCTTTAGATACTGCTGCATCAGCAGAGGAGGCACACAGGCTGCAAACTCCTCTTTATTTCACCCAGTGCTCATCGACAACAAGGAACAGTAAATAACTATTCTTTTTCCTCTAGTGGCTTCTTTCTCATTTTGTTCAAGCATTTAATCATTTTACATGAAATATTTGAAATTTAACCAGTTATGGATCCTTCTGAGCAACAATCAGTAGTTTTTCCCCCTTGCATGAAATATGTTTTCTTTAATATTTCTTTTCAAATCAACAGGAAAAACCTGCAGGGTTCAATATTGGTAAAGAAAATGTACTCTTAAACTGGCAATGTTAATGCATTATTTGCTATTCAAAATAGTAAACCAAATATTAATTATCAAGAGAATGTAAAGATTTTAAGTTAAAATAACATGCACCTAAAAGTTTACAGCACATTTCAAAATTAATTAAAAAAAATCTAGACCAGTTTTTGCAGAATTTACAGAGGCACAGGATAGATCTCACATTTCTAATGGTTATCACAGAAATATTCTGTTTATTCAGTAGTATTACCTTAAAATGCATAAAATGCACTTTAAAAGGAAAAGGAAAAAAAAATATGTAGGAAAAAATATAACTAAAACCTCTAACAAAAACAAACAAAAAAGAACCAACATGAATAATTCAAAGCAGGATGGATAAATGGACGAAATGATTACATTATTATTTTTTTTTTTCCATCAATCTTTTTAGGGATTTTATATTTTCCTTTAAAACAATGAGCTGTAAAAAAAAGATTAATATAGATCCACAAAATGCTGTCCAGACCTTAAAAAACCCCACATAAAACAATATTTTCCAAATGCTTCATTCATATTCAGCCTGGAACCCTTCGGATTTTACTTATTTTAAGAAACAACCAAAAGTGATTATTAATAGTTTACTATTAATAATCACTAGTATACTATTTTCTTTATACCTGTCAGTTAATCAGCTAGTGTTTAAAATCAGATTATTTGTCCATAAATGGCTCTCTTCATTTGACAGTAGGTAAAGCATTGGGGGAAGAAACAAACACACACACACAAAAAAAATTAAAAAGCTTAACTATAGTTATTTAAAAAAGGATCTTTATCTTTTCCTTTTATGACAAAAAACCTGTACCAAATTATAACTAAAACATCATTGATGCTCCTAAAAGGAGATGCAGCCTTAGTATATTTTGCTGTTTATTATACGAGGACAATAAAGCTTCTTCTCTTTAAGACTGAACTAAAAAATGTATTTTAGTTTAATCTTAGAGAAAACTGGTGAAACCATTCATTTATAAAACTTGGTAGAACAGAATCTAGATGCATCACCTGCTCTTGCATTAATTATGTGTTTCCTGTTTTAAAAATATTCATTCCTGTGGTCTCAACCTACGGGAGTGCATTGTATTCACCAAAGAAGAAAAAAAAAAATCAGACAGCTTATCTCCTAATTAAGAGATCAGTATCTGTTTGCATATGTTCCACTGACCAGTTCTCTGTACCGAGGTCTGAGCTTACACACGTTGGAGTTCCGCTCCTGTTTTTCACCCTATCAATAAAGCATCCAGCTATAACCCTGGGATTACTACTTGTGGAGTAAGCATGCAGCCATATGACCATATGTGAAAATCCGTCAGCAGCTCCATTAAAAGAGATTCCGTTTTTATTTTTTCATATGAATCGACATGCCTGGTTGTTTTAAATTATTTTGAAGCCCCAGCTGTACTCCTTGTGGATCTATGATTTTGTGAAGGTACTGGGGGACAGTTTTTTGGGACAACACCAAGCCAGCTGGAATGCATATCAGATGCATTAATTTGTAACCATAAAGCATCCCGTGCTGGTTCAATTGCTCCTGCAGGAACAGTGCGATTTCCAGCAAGTCAGAGTAGAGTGGACTTTTTCTCCTAAGCAATTCTAAGGACTTACTGCGCAATGCTGACAAACTAAAACTAATTCCATCCATATTGAAGAAACTCAGCATTTCCCAGTGTTGCATACCTAAAAGGAATTCAAAGTACATCAAATCCGACAACCACCTCCTTGTTCAGGTTTCATGTAGCGTAGCTTAGCAATGACCGTCTTTCCTTATCTTCTAAATATGACATATTATCTCATAATATGGAGATCAGGATCTCATAATTACAAGATCAGTATATTATAAGTATGAGATAAGCTGTCTGATTTTTTTATTTTTTTTTTTTGGTGAATGCAATCCGCTTCCGTATCAACCTCCTGTTTGGTAAAAGATCTATGAATTAATTTGACATTGCTGATGTGGTTTTAAAATGTTATTATACAAACTCACACTGGGTAGAAAAGCTAGGCACAGTGTAAAATGAAGGCTCACCTGTGCTGTTGGGAGTCGGGGTCTGCAGACTACCCATCACTGTGACCACGGGACCAACAGCTAATGTGGAAGGTCGTTGGTCTGATTTACACACCTGAGAAGCGTCTGTGACAAAAAAAGAAAAAGAAAGCAAAGCTGTTGGAATTGAAGCCTGAAAAGGAAGCCGGATCACATTCAATCAAATCATATTTGCTGATGGATCGGAGATCATCATGAGAGACGCTGCAAACATTAGCTGTTGACAATTTTGCACTTTTGCAATAGTTGCCATGATACAACTATTGCATTCAAAAAATGCAACAGTTGTTTCATGGGCCGTTTCTCAACATGTGTACTTGTGCATTCTCCCTCTTTTATAAATCAAATTACAAAAAACAAATTCCCCTATAGATCATAATACTCATTATCAAAGAACAATCATTTAAAATACTGAATAATAATCATATTATACTATATAAAATATTATATATTTAAAACAATCATATAATTTATTAATATAAAACTTTATGTTAATAATATTAATTTTTTATTGCAAAATATAACTGCATAAATATCATCAAGTTTGAGTTCAGTTGAAATAGTTTTTAATCTGAATAAATATGTGTAATCTAACACTAAGGTAATTTTAGAATTTGTTTTGGTCTTTTAAAGGGTTGTGAGATGTAAGAGATTATTGTAATATTATTTTTGACTTGTCTTTCATGTGATTAGAATGAGATCTAAGGCTCCTCCTATTCATTCTGACAGCAGCCTTTTGAACTGTGGTCCGATCCAAGATGGCCGTTTCTAGGCACGTCGGCCGGCGTCCAATGAGACGTCTACGTATATAATGTCTATGAGAAGACCGAGATCGGACAAAGCCTGTTATTAAACAGTTTTTGGCGATCCGGATGCTATTTTTCTGCTTCCTTTTCCGTTACTGTTGTTCAATAAAAGTACGTTTTATGATCATTTGAGGCGAGACGTTATACTTTTAAGCATCACTATATGGCCCATTTACCGATTTAATGTGTAATTGAAAAAAAAATAAAATCTGCAGTTGAGAGAATCGCTGCAACCAGCGGAGCTTCAAGGGTAACTGCAGCCAGGGCTAATTTTAGCCCGTATTGCTAACTCTGATGGCGATTTTTTTGATTTGGCAAAATGTTAATTTGATATTTGTTTATCTAACTGTGTTAATCATTACTCTCCCACTAAATGAAAAAAGTAAGAATTTATTATTATCTATAGACTATTAATAACAGGAGGTGAAACACAGCTCCGCAAGAGCTCAGCCTGTGGTGACGTCATGAGTACGCTTCTGTTCCAATTGACCCATATTTATGCTCTGTGCTCCCGTTCTCCTTGAGTCCAAACTTTCCTGTGTTCTTCTCAAGAACATACTTGCCGAGGACCCGAGTCGAATACTCACGTTATTGTGAATTGAGAAACGGCCCCAGTCTTTCAACCCCAAACTATTTCTCTCATCACATCTTGTTTTTTTTAAATACAACATTACTAGACATGAACTCAAGTTTTAGCAACAAAAAAAATGTGTTTTGAAAATGACAATAGGCTTCCGTGCATATAGTACAACCAACCCTTTATTATTCAAGCTGTTCCAATAAGCTGTTCTTTTTGAGGAAGGTATAGTCAAGTCAATCCTAAAAAAACTTCACAAAAACAAACAGAAAAAAATATAAATAAAAAAAATAAATAAAAAAATAAATAATATATATATATATATATATATGATGTAAAGAGAGCAAGTACTTTGTGTGCAGTTTACATAAAATAATTGACCCACAGGGGGAGCTTGTGCCCTTTGAGAAGTTGATTTAACATAGACAGCAATTCTCTGGCCCACTAGAAATGTGTTGGAGTACCTATGGGTAGTGTGTTCTGCGTTGGCATTGTGGTGTTGACTACAGGGGGGTCAAGATGCGGCTGGTAGATCCCATCCACTGGGTTGATGGTGCTCTGGGGGAAAAAAGAAAAAGAAGTTCAGCAACCTGAACCAATGATTAAGTAAAATAAACCAACAACCTCATAACATGGCCTGCTTACAGTTCAAAACTATGACAAACCAATTGGATCATCCACTAAAAGTATGAGTATTTTTTTTTAATTTGACCTTTTTTTTAATTGACTGGACAAAACTTGTGTGCTGGTTATAGATCAGATTATCGGTAGACCCATGGATTAACAAGAGCAGTGCATTGAAACAACTCATCTAATCCGGACAGATCAATTCCCTTTCACTCAATGTCCTGGAAAGTATGGCAGGATTAACTGTTGCAATCGATATGAAACCTTCCAGGCTGCATGAACACATAAAAACCAAAGGGAACAAAAACAAAAATCCCTCCAGTATAAAACTGAGTTTTTAAAAACCTCTGTCATGTTTTCCATGCAGTAAAAATCAACAAAGGATTTTAGATAAGCAACATTTTTGGCACCCCTGGTAAGGACGTGTACAAATTAAACATACCTTAAACTACCGCGGAAAAAACTAAACTTTGAGAACATTTAATTAGAGGGAAAATCATTAAGTCTTCAATAACATTTCTTAAAAAAGGGGGTCTTAGACCACTCATAATATTAGGAGATAATCAGTCTTGAATCCCCTCTTCTCTTTAGCTTTCCTCACAGTTATCAATAGCATTTAAGTCTGGGGACTTCAATAGTCGCCAAAGAACTTTGATTTAACGTTTTTGCAACATAAGACCAAAAGACGAAGCTTTACTGCCATTTAAAAAAGGGACATCAACATATTTGACAGCGTGTCTTTATAGAACCATGAATGGTTAGATATAGTTAAGATATGTTGCACAATAAATAGTCTGGCATGATATCTGTGCCAAAAATAATGCAGTAGTCCATTTATTGTCTTTGTGTTGCTTTGCAATACGTCTTGGAATGTTTTCATTATGATGACAGAAGCCATAAGATTGTTAATTAAAATTTCCCAGTATTTCAAACATTGCTGTAGGTCATTCATCAACAAAAGAATCAGCCATTTCGTCAGGTTTATGGCACTAATCAATGCAGCCTTAATAGTAAAAGTAAACTTTCTTACAGTTAGTCAATGTCCTCAGATTAAAAGAGGAATTTGTTTTCAGATATTTTGCCGTTTCCATTCAGAGCTAATGGCCTTAGGATACTTTTTGCATCTTTCTTCCAAGGGGACTAACACTGACTATAAAGCCACTGCATCCAACATCCCACTGGAACATGGACCAAACCATGCAGGAAAACAGGGTCATATCGACCGTGATTCAGCTACAGCTTACCCTGAGGGCTCTGAAATGCCAACATTTTTGTCATTATAATGTGATCAGCTAAATCCTCAGCTTGATTCTTATCAAGTTTTAACAACTGTTAAACTGAAATTTAAGTCATGTAAAAATAACTGGATGAAACAAGGTGAGTCTGTACAGGACGAGTCCTCAGATATATTTAAGTATTTGCATCACATCAGCATAAGTCCAACTAATACATCTCAAACTATGATCAGAACTTGAAAATGTTTAAATCCTTCCTTAACCAACTGCCTGTGTTTCATGCTCCTATCCGTACGCCTTGTTAATGTGCCTCGAAAATAAGTAAGTCAGCGGCTACTGATTATAGCCGAATGGAGAAATATTGGTCTGTCATGATGGGGGCTGGGTCAGTCTTTGGCATGATCAAGCAGGAGATGAATCAAAAGCAGATGATGAAGTGGAGTTCATCTTTAAGTGAAGTTAGAGCAATAATAAACGTAAAAAAATTACTTGCATTTCTTTTTAATGCAAATTAAATATTAATGCAGCTTGCTGCTCTAGTTAAAGAATCCAGATGATTTTTCTTCCATTCCTACCTTTTTTCATTTAAAGAATCCCTAAATACGCAACACAGAGTAAGAGCAACATGGACCATTAAACATGCTGTAAGTGTTTTAAAGATGCAGTGCATTGTTAAAAAGGACACGGCATACTTCCAGTAGTGATTAAGCTGTAGACACATCTCAAGCAGAAAGCTTGGAAGATAGAAAACAGACAGATATTGGGATAGACAGAGTTCATGCTGTGCTATTTATACCACATAATACTTTACTTAATGACTATGGGATTATATCTGCTATTAGAGCAGACTCCTACAGTATGAGCAGACCAGCCTCTGTGGGATTCATGCATCAGGAACGATATTAGAAGTTTTCTGTGCGTTAGAGCATTAAGCTCAAACGGTTAACATTTTCCAAAGCATTCAAAGAGCTTTTAGATTGATTTTCTTCTTTCCATGCATTAAAGTCTCTTCACTGCGATATTTTCCCTTCTCTGCTTCTTTTTTTGTGGTGCTCCACCCCATACAGTACAGATATGATACCTTACTAACAATACAGAGAAGTTTCTATTCCTTGCAGTATCATTGAAGTCAAACTGAGAGCCAGAGAAGTAAATTCCCACTTTTTGCAGTTCCCTATTGACAAATAGAGAAATGGTATCTGAGAGTATAGTGTTTACAAGCTAAAGCTGGGAAGATGAGCCTAAAGTTACTCAATAAGAATTAGGAAAAATTCTAACATTACAGAGGTTTGTAGTTCAGTAGAGTGGGCAGAGTTTTTTTATCCAACAATACGCAAAAAAGATTATACTTTGACTCCCCCTTTTTTTCTTTTTTTTTTATCCAAGAGGAGGCTGAATCTGAAGCTGAGCTTGTCAATGGAGAATCAGTCTACAAGCTGTAATTGATTGCTTTGGAAAACTGATAATAATATTGTTAAATAAAAATGTCTGAGTCTTGGTGTGGCCTAGAATATGAACATGGTTCACCTGCAGAACCTGTAAAGTGCTCTCTAGATGCCTTTCCTGCTATCAGCGCTCAGCAATTCAATAAGCAGGCAGTGTGAGCTGGATTAATCAATACTGGGTGATGCTGGCTTTAATTTCAGGGCTGAGTGATGCACAACATGTTTAGATCAGGTATGCAAAAAAAAGGCATGCTTTAAAACAACAAAGTGCTCTGCAAAAAGTCTCATAAACTTCTCCACATTCTGTTCAATTACTGCTTCAAACTTCAATGCAAATTTAGCACGTGTGCAAAGTAGAAGGACAACTTACAGATAAAGATCTAAAATGTGGATCAAGCCTCGTTTATAGCACTAAATAAAAACCAGTGCAACTAAGTAGAAATGATCAATTTAATATGACAAAATGTGAACCAGTTTATGGATTATGGAGACTTTGGTAATGCACAGCATATTATACAGATAACCAAACTGAGTGCTGCATGCATGCAGACTTTGACCTGTGATGAAGGATAGTTCCCAACCATTACTAAAAGGAATTAAACCTGAGATTAAAACAGGAAGGTTTTAATCAAGAAGATAGCAGTGGCAGACTTGAGAAGTAAGAGCTGAAGGTAGAGCTTGTGCCTAATCAGACGGCATGCTCTAAGTATCTAATTTATCAGCTTGGCATTAAAGGACAGGGTAAATAATGCCAGAAGAGAAAGTTAGAGTTTTGTTTGATTAAATTTTTTCTCATGGACAGGAAGACGTTTAAACTTACTATAAGTCCGTTTGCGTGTTGTTGTTCGTTACTTTGGTCCTTTGAATTTTAAGAAGACAGCGTTAGACTGTTTTGGGTACAAAGGTTCAAATGTCAAGTAAAAAAAGCATCCTGACTGAGGAAGTTCACCTTTCATTATTCAGTAATTTGCTGTTTGCAGTGATCGTTTCATCACATGTTTGATCCTTTCATATATTTCTAAGTAATAGAAGTCTAAGAAGTCACACCAACATGAAACACAAGTGGTTAACCAACTTCCTTCCATACAGGTTAAGGGAACATGTGATGAAGCGAACCCTGGACCACCCCCTCGTCATCCACCGACCCAGATAGCAACTGTGAGCAGGGAACTACCTTAGAGACGGGACGTTCAGCATACACACCAATGTGCTTTCACCAGAAAGTGATTATGGTACAGAAAAAAGTCAGCGCGAGAGAGGGATTCAGACATGCAATCAAGCTGTTTACCTTGGCAATCTGCAGAAGAACAATACAGTGCTTGATGGACTCTACCATACTCTAAGGAAGAAAACACAGCAATCCGTTAGCAGGGAAGTGACTTCCACACAGAAGGAAACAAAACTTGGAAAGTATTTACTTACACAAGTAGTCTCTTTCAGATTTTCTATTTTCTGACAAAAACAAAGAAAAAACATGTTAGATCCAAAAAACCTGAGGACTGCAGATGTAACCTGTTAAACAGGACTGATAAATTATTGTTGCAGAAAACCTTAAGTTCAATTCAATTCAGTTTATTTATATAGCGCCAATTCACAACTCGTCATCTCAGAGCAAATGGAGTCAAAGTTTCTATCTAAGGGAAACTAGTAGATTGCATCGACTCATTGACTGGAAGGCAATCCCTCACACTAAGAATGCTTGTTGAATACGGCAAACAGCAGCAGCTTTTATGTTCGCTTTGGGAAGCAAGAAAATGTACTAATTTCCCACAAAGTTAGGCTTGATGAAACTTAAACATGTCTGTGTTTCTCAGAACTTAAACATTTATGATATAAACCACTTTAGGGGAAGAGGATGGAATGGCAGTCATTTGTTCTGATTTGATGATATGACACATATGGCAGATATGCACCGCAGGGGATATTTGCAACGGAAAATGTACAGGTGACGTTTTTCTGAAGGAAATCAAACATCCTCCCTACAACTTCCTGACACATGCTGGAAGTTAAGATGTGGCACAGGAGTAGAGTTTGGCATACAGAGCCCCAGGTGTCAGTATTCTAGCAAAATTTAGGAAATATGCTTTTCTTGAGACATTTACACCGGACTTTTCTCTCAATCTAGAATGCTTTTTAATAGAGAAAACTGCTCTGTCACAGTATTTGAATAGTTTGCATAGTTTTACATTTTTATGATTTTTGAGGTCATGCAATAGTTTTACAATAATTACTTTTTAAAATCATCAAATGAAATCTTTAAAGATAAAGTCCAGTCATATTCAGAATTCAGACTTCTGAAAGTACTTTAAATATGAAATTATTACATACTGTTCAATAAATTATATGTGTTTTGATTAAGAGTAATTTTCATTTCAATGTAATTTACAGAAGACATCCATGTTTGTCAAAGAACACTACTCCCAATCGTTTGTGATGTCACGGTGCGGTATCGGCCGTCGATCAAGTCCCAGTGCTGTTTCATCCAAGTCATCTTTAAAACATTCTTCTTCTAAATGTTGGCTACATATTACGTGTTTTTTCTCTGGCCAGAAGTCCAATGGCAAATCCTCCCTCTTTAAGTTGGAAATTTTAATGACGAACCCATGGTGGATCAATGAATTGGAGGGGGAAAATAACAATTTTTTTTTTTTTTTTTTCCTTTTTCCCCCTTTTTTTCCACCTTGCACTTGCCTTGCTTTTGGGCTTTTTCGTTTTCCTTCCGGTTTTGGCGGTTTTCATTTGTGAAGTCCTCTGGAAATCCTGAATAATTGTTGTTGATTGCAGAAGTGTCTATTAGTTCCCATTGATTTTTCTTGTAAAGTGGGGAGAATGGCGCTAGGCTTACTGCAGCGTGACATCACTGCCGGAAGATGTCAGGAGTGAGGCGTTACTATATTTGGGTAAAATTGGCCAGTCCCGGACTCAGTGATCATGACAAAAATGGTTGTTTTCATTTTTTTTTACTGTTCAACACTAAATTCATTAAATCACAGCGAATGTATTCGTTTTAGGTATAAATAATTATCCATTTATTATTCCTTGTTGAATCGACTTTTCCTTTAAAGTAAAAAAAAGCTAAACTTTAAAATGTAAGATTATAAAAATGGTTTTAAAAGATTAAAAGGGATCTGATTAAAATAGGTCCTGACTAGACTCACTGACCACTAAAGTCGCAATACTTTCTAAAAACATAAATATCTGTTAGCAAACCTTGTCATTTGTCTATATTTTTATTTGTGGTATTATCACCCCTGGTTTTCTCTTTTTTTTGTTAAATCCTAAAATGTTGCTGTGGAATATATTTAAAGAAAAGTGTCAAAGATTGGATGTTATTCGGCATTCTAAGAAAATGATTTTCTTATGAATAAATATGTGCAAATATAGATATAAATAATTTGTCTTAGTAAAGAAACTGATTCAACCATTAGTGGCACAATCAACTATTCCTGTAAAATAAATGCAACTAAAATAAAACCTTTAAAGATTTTTAAGATGAGGCAAGGCAAATCTTTAAAATGGGAAATGCAAACGGACATTAGATTAAGGTGAAAGAGATGTGCGTTGAAGACATGATAAAGCTCACTGTTGGAGAACAGAATTAAATTTTTCCCACTTAGATTATGCCACTGAGAGAAAAGATTCAGATTTTAATGTTTTTACTATTTTAGCAGGATAAAAAAAAAAAAGTCCCTACAAAAAAAGCTGTGGTCTCACCTCTGATGCAATGAAATAGATAAACTACAGAGCCAAGAATATAATCCGTTTTCATCTTTCTCTTCATTAAAAGATTGCGAAATGGTGCAGCAGGTCAGGAGATATATCCATGTGCTTAGCTTTACATCATTAACCCACATTAACTACATCCAATTTTTTCGCAAAAGGGCAATATTTGGTTGTTAAAGGTACTTAACAGTGAAATCTCACTGAAAATTAGTCATAATATTTGCCTTTATTGTTTTCGATCAAAGCAACCAACCAGCCTGCAACAGACAACCAGGACTCAGCAACACAGCAGCAACAGCCACTAAATTACATTTAGTCATCTGACAGGGCTCTAATGAAAGCAGAAACAGGGGAGCAGAGGCCTGAGTGCTGGTACTCACCCTGCGCGATTCATCCTCTTTGCAGTCCTTGATCTTCTCATCAAACAGCTGTTTGCGAACAAGAGATGAAAAGGTGGGAAAAGGGGAAAGATGAGATTAGAGCAAAGATGTTTTCAGTCAACTGGGTATTCAAAAGGATCACAGGGAGAATCTGCAGCCTGCAGATGATTTTAGATAACATGTTGACCGACACAAGATCAGCGAAGTGTTTTTATCAAGACTCAGATATCAGTAAAAACACCTATGGAGCTTGTGACATTATGCTGCTGTAGTGCTTTCTGCCTTGTCATCATGTTACCAAAAATCTGTGTTAAACTTCTGCTTTAAAAAGGAGATCTGGTTCAGCAGCAGAACAAACTAATTATAATCTGCAGCCTTGCTTTGTTTATAAAACAATATGATTCTCAACTTAACTAGGTCTGACTGGATCCAAAATTCTACCAAATGTTTTTACAGTGTGATATGTGAACATTCCTGCCTAAAAATAAAACTGCTTGACTTGGATCCTACCTTTAACTGGTCGATTAGGATCTGTAGGTAGGCGTCAGCTTCAGCGAGCTTCTTGTCAAAGTCTTGCACACTGGGAACGAGTCCTGTCTCAGCCTCCTGCAGACAGGAAAAAACAAACAAAACAGACTATGAATACAGCCTCTTCCAGGCCTGTGGTGAAATCCCTGCTGGTTTTTGCATATTCAAAGTAAAGCGTGACCAGGATCAATAACCAAGAGGTGTCCATTCATGAAATAATGGCTCAGGCTCTATCGTATCACAACCCAGTCAGGTTTTGTACACGGGTGCAGAAAACAGTAGAAACATCAACAGTTCGGGGGAATCTTCCAGCAACGTACTGTACTACGGGAAATACAATACCAGGAGTATTGTTTGAAGGCGAGCCAGCGTGGAAAACCAACATATGTGACAGCCCACATTTGTCAGGCTTCAACAAAACTGGAAACTAAGAGAGACTCAGCTGCAGAGGTGAGCCACAAAGGGTGCAAATGGGATGAGGTGCACTCCGATTTATTGTTTAATTAGTTTCTCTTAATAGCCGCTGGCCTCTATGTTTGCATGCACACAGAGATCATTTAATTACATAAGATCCATTAAAAGGCAATTCCTCAACTACCAGCAAAAAAAGAGTTTCTAACTGTCCAAGCTCCCACCCAAGCAGTGGGGACAAGCAGGAGAAAGGTCTGATGAATCAAAGTACAAGGAAGATCTGCCTGAAAAAAGCAACAGAATCTTAACACCTTGATTAAGCACCAGAGATAACAATAACCTTTCTGCATCAGGAGATCCAGCTGATGACTAACACAGCATGTGTCAAAGCAGTTTCTGCTAAGCCTATAGCAGTCCGTCTGTTATAAAAAAAAAAAAAAAAAAAAAAACGGGGAACAAACTATTCCACAGAAAATGGTGTCAAGAGTAAATGGGAATCGGCTAAATCTTAAATCCTCTTAGGAAATCAAGCTCTTATCAAACCGTTCTGAGAGCAGCCGTCATCGCCTTGGATTTGCTGCGTTGCAGATTGCTGCCATCTCCTCGTCCTGCTCTCCTCGATTTCACAGGAATGTGAAGAAAAGCCATTAAAGCAAAGCAAAACATTAACATCTACCCAGACCCGAGAACGGCTTAACTTTAAACATGTTAGGTTTATAGAGAGCAAAGTCTGTTTTGCAGCCTGAAGCACGAGGTTAACAGGACAATCATCCTGAAGGGATCAAAGGTGCATGCTTTGCTTAGAGTGGCAACAAAAGAAAAAATCTAAACTTTCTGCTTGAGAACAAATAAACAATATGGTGATAAAAATAAGGGAAAATAATTCACAAATACCTACAGTAATCTATGGTGAACTTTAATTTTACAATGCAGGAGATGAATAAACAGTGGAAAAATTACCTCAGATGACGGAACAACCAGAGACAGAAGTAGACTGACCTAGTAAGACCATGCATGCAACTTACACGCAATACAGACAAATCTGTTGGCACTTGAAATAAACACATCCTTTTGTTGAAGGGGGATAATCTCTCACTAAAATATCCATCTATATAGTTATATAAAAATCTTAAATCTCTGTTTATTTAATCTTTGGAAGAGAATACTCCAAACACCTGCAATATAACAATATAGATTGCTACCAGATGCTTTATTATATTAATCAATCAAAATCCCTTTAAAATAAAACTTAGAAAATCTTTTATAAGCTTATCAGATTTTCTGTAGGTGAAGCAGCCTCTCGCTTTTGCAAAAGTAACTAAACAATTTTTTTTTAAACCTACGATCACAAATCTAACAGAGTTTCGATAAACTGTGTGTTTTGGTCAAACTAGATTCTCATTTCAATATTGAGCAATATTCCAGAGAGGGGATTGCGCTAAAACAAATGATAAATATGTAGAAAAACACCTCACTCCAATGATACTGCCACCTGTGGCCAAAGCACAGAATGGCAGCACTTATTTTCTCATAGCTCGTGCTATTTTTTAACATTTTTCACCTTGCATGGAGTTGCCATTGGTGTCTTAGTTGAGCTGATTGTTTCTGTGTATGCAATAAATCCATCTTAAATACGACGCTTCAATTGTTCGCTAGATTGCACCGATTTAACATAGATGTGCTTCACGTCACATCCACTAAACAGCGCAGGAACTTCTGACCTGAAGTACATTCAAGGAAATATATTCTACAGGCTGATAGATGCATCGGCGCTGAGGAGTCAGCTGTTCATCAAAAATGTTTTGTTGATAAAGGGTCAAATAAAAAAAGCTATTGTAAAGGTATTTTTCAGTAAAAAACTTACGAAATGTCTCCTTAGGTACAGCGGAGGATGAGCGTTTGGATTGGGTTATAGGGAAAGGGAATCTTTGAAAAACCTGGAGACTTGTAATTAAATTCTGAATTAGTTCATAATTACGCTGAAACTGGATTAATAGCAGGATAATTAAAAGTAGGATAACACAGAGCAAAACACAGCAGAAATGGTCCACAAAACAGTTTGTTAATGTGTTTGTTTGTTCAGGTAATTTCTTTGCAGTTATAATGTAAACTACATGCTTTCTTCTACTCACTTTTCTGTAAATATGGAAACAACAACAGATAATGTGTTTGCTAATTTTCTTTCTTTCAAAAAGCCTAAAATTAGAGGTGAAAACATCCACATTTAATGAGTGGGTGACTTTAAAACTTAAGCTGTTTTTTTCCCTCAATCTTTTTACACCTCAGAAAACATTTTAATGTTAAAGAGGCTCTTTGGACTGAAAAGGCTGCCGACCTCCATTACACACAAACACACGTGACCACAAACCTATGTAGGTCAGGAAGATCAACCCTCTGCACTTAAAACAACACAGAGTAGTAAACTGCCATTTCTCCCATCATTATGCGGTGAACTAAATCTCTTGTTTTGTCAACATGCATGATGGAAAGGAAGCTGTGCTTCACAGAGGGAGCCAATAAGTTCAGGAACAGAAAGTCAGCTGCAGGTGGCTGCTTTATAAACAGCCCCTCCACGGCCACGTCACCTCTTCACCGTTCCAGAAATATTCCCAGACGTCTAGACCCTCCGCTTCCACTCATTCCCACCATCCAGACTCATCACTGTCTAACAGAGGGAATCTTTCAGAGCAATCGTCCGTTATAACCACCCAGCCAATCAATTGTGGCTCTACAAAACAACGCTCCCCACAGAGCCCCCGACCCCACATATATATATACACATATCTTTTAAACTGTGTGACCTATTTTAAAATGTCGCTGCCCTGGCAGCAGTGGGCTGATGATCGACTTGTGTCGTTTTTGTTTGTGTGTGTTTTACTTACAGGGCCCCTCGCTCCAATGAACATGCTGCATCAAAGCTTGTGCATCTCCCAGGCCATTTAGCCTGACAAGTCTGTTTTCCCCTCCTCCTCTGCCTCCGTTATGAGTTTCTCTCCTCCTCACAGCGACAAACCATGAGCTCTAAAGAATTCAGCATTTTTTTTATCCTCCTCCTCTCCGACACAGAAACAAAGGCTCCTTTTTGAGAGTGTGCAGCCAGACGGGACACGATATACTCTTCAGCAGCAGGTATCAGCTGACCGCTTGGTATGAAGCAGACGGAGCTGTGTTAATCCAGGACCCTCCCCTGGCAGGAAGGGCACACTTCCTCCCTTACAGGCAGAAGAAAAACCACAAGGCACACAAGCACTAAGGGAAACTATGATTGGCTCCAGCAGCACAGGCAGATGTGCTGTGGAGCGAGCAATCAGATCCCCGATTGGTTAGTTCTGGCCACATGATCATATGACAGCGACTCGCATAAATGCACATATGTGTGTGTGTGGTAAGCAAGCAGACACACGTAGCACACAGAAGAGATTTGCTATGAAGGGAGGAGGGAGACTAGCAGCCAGAGGAGGTAACGCAGAGGGCAACGACAAGGTTGATTATTATGAAGAAAAAAGAGGAGCTGGAAGGATGGTATGCACAGTGGGGGGTGGGGGGGGCTGGGATGGTATAACTAAATGGAAAACAGCTAAGAGGGAGCTTAACAAAACAAATAAATAAAGGCAGTCATTGGGCCAAATATAAACCAGACTTTTGAAACAAAGGCACTCTGCCATAACGCTGTCCCTCAATATGACATGTTATAACCAGCTATTAACAGCCTCTTGGCTTCTGTCCAACTAAAGAAACTCAAATACTCCTCAGAAAATACAGACAAGAGAAAAATAAGAAAAAAATATAAGAACCATTTTTTGTTCACTTCGTTGTCTGGTAAAACCAAACCGATACTTTGGCACAAACTTAACAACAGTAAAGGCTCATATGACTAAAAGCCAGCATCCAGCCATTTTCTAGGCCTTCTAAAATTATCCATAGTCATATGGATAGGAGCATATTGCCTTTGGAACTACAGACAATTAATTTGTTATGAAATATTAGCCATTTTCAGGTGCTGCTGCAGCATTGTATCACACACATTGATATATAATAAACATGAATCAATGACATAGCCACTTATGAGAAAGGCTGAAAAAAATATGAGACCTCTTTCTGCTAAAAGCAAAAAAACATTTGCATGACCCATGGCCTCTTTACAGTGTAAGAAGGGCAATCTCAGATTATTTGTGGTACACTATGCAAAGCTAAATTAATCATTCTTGGTATGATGCTCAGTTTGATGTTTGCACATAGTAAGGTCACTGTTTAGTTTCTACGATAAACGACAAAAAGCACAGCTGTGATTTGTCAATTTATGTATGATAGGCAAAAATGATCGTGCTCTGCCTCACATCACTGCTCTCAGATTTGAATAAGTAGGCATGTTTATGGGGCGGGCATGAGCCAGCCATGGTAGAGGCTTCCTTGTAATGTCCTCCCTACATAGATGAGTCTTGGACTCCATTTTTTCCAGGACTGAGAGGGGCTGCTGCCCAGAGAGCAGAATTCATGAAGATTACTCAGACCTAGACCGATCAAGCAAAATACCACTTTGCTGGTGAAGATTCTCACTCATGTAGGTCATAGTCATTCCAAAAAAAACAAGCCACTAGACTTTGCTTCCAAGTTTAAAGACGTTTTCGCTTCCCATCCAGGAAGCTTTCTCAATTCAAAATGTCTGGATTCACGTTGGGTTCCAACCTTTATAACATAGCCCAAAAAGCCTTGTTGTGGGTTTGAACACATGCAAATTGAACTGGAAGAACAAGTCCACTCCTTATTAGTGGGGAATCATTGAGGTCTTTGTTAACCTGCAATACCCCATTTTGGCCTATGCCTCTGAAAAGGGCATAGGCCCTGGCTGCCGTTAGCCTCAGAGGTACGCTGGTTGCTGAGATCCTCTCATCTTCGGAAATTGTTTTTTTTTTTTTTTTATTACGCATTAAATCGGTAAATTAACCATATAGTGATGCTTTAAAGTATAATATTCTCGCCTCAAATGATTTTAAAACGTACGTTTATTGAACAACAGCAACAGAAAAGAAAACTTTTAATTTTCAATGCCGTGCTCCATTTAAAGCTGCTGCTGCCGCTGTGCATGCTATGGTTCAATAGTTGCTGCCATCTTCCTTGTTGTGCTTTCTCCAGCGTCACGCAGCTTTGTCATCAGACACTCAAAACTCCACCTGCTTTACATCCAGAAATTCAAAACACATCTCTGTGTTGTGATTGACTCACCAGTTCTAGGGTCTGCGGCATTGATCGAGGCTAGACCAAACTTGAAGGCAAAAATGATTTTAGTCGCTGGCGGGATGGGGCCAGTTTACTGGGCTAGGGTCATCTTATAATTGGGGTCTAACCAATTATACAGGCTAACAGTTGTCTGGGGTCGCTACACAAACACAAAAGCAGAGGGCGCCAGTTTTTTTGTAAAGCCAGTGACTTCGCTGTGGCTGGGGTCATCTTTCTATCACAACACACAAGAGGTGACGAGTTTGCAGACATCTGAGATGGACTTATGACGCCAATTTTTGAGTAATAGTGGTCAAAGAAGCGGAGGCATCAAACAACTGTCAGGCGGCAAAGAAATACGGAGTTACAGAGAGAGATGTTAAAAGATTGCATGTTCAAAAAGACAGGAAAAATAGAAAATGGTAAAATAAAAGCTTATCAAAAAATTGCAGAACTGTAGGGTGGGAGTAGGAGTGACAGCGAGTGCAGCGAGGCAGAGGACGTCTGAGAGGAAAAGCCTCATACAGATTTATTTTTTTTTTTTTTTACTTTTTATTGTTTAATTGCAAAAATCTTTCAATGCAATATTATTTAAATAAAATTCTCAGCATTACAATATAAAATAGTTTCTTTACACCAAAAAAATTGGGCTTATTTTTTTCCTTTTGGTCATCTTATAATTTTTCCTTCTGGTCATCTTATAATTATGGTTGTCCTATATTAAGATCAGTATGTTACTTAACTAGCTATGGTACTGCACTGATAAAAACATTTCATGCATTTCATGCTTCCTTTTCTGCTTGTTTTAGTCACATGTTACCCACAGGGGTTGGTACTTGATTTGTTGTCTAATAATCTTTTCCATGACTGTAATGAGGTTTAAGATCAGTCATCATAAATTTGACTGGACCATATCAATCAGCAGAGGGTAGAGACAGCTTGGATATTGGATATAAGAGTCTACTAAGTACTGGATGCACTCCTACGTACAACTTGTACTGTTACAACAAATTAGACTTAATAGCTCTTTTAGCTGATACAATTAAAACATGCTTGAGGAAAGCCAGCCAAACATGGACAACCATACCTAATCGCCATGACACCAATGGGTGGGTCATTGTTGAAGAAGGTGGGCTTAGAGGAGCCCCTAGATGGGACTAATTTTCTCCGTTTCAGAAAATGCATTGACTGACATGCACTGTTCTGGTTTATTGTCGCAGAAAGAAAGATGCCTTCATTTATGATGTGAAGTTTGAGCCATAAGATTCTTATCTTTGCAACAACAGTTTTTACTTTAAATTGTGCTATTACAGGGGTTGACGTTAAGGATTTTTACCAAAGGGCAAGTGACTTTCACATTTCATTTGCCCAGAAACAATTTTTACTTGCCCAGTATAATGTTTGATAAATATAGTCCCTAATATTCATTTGTGTATATATATCAATGAAACATGTTTATTTTTTAAATGTTTTTTGTAATTCAGTATTTTTTAAGTTTACAGGTTCCTGGTGTGTATATGCAAGCGTCAGATAATGAACTCAAGCCTCTATTACCGTGTTAACATGCTTTTCAATCCTTCCTGCACATTCTTTTCAAACTAAACTTTGCTTTAAACTGTTTTGTGCTTGGAAAAATATCAATTGTAATGTTAAAAATCTAAAAAAAACTTGACAGGTTAAAAACTTAAGATAAATCACAAGACAGAAGTCAATGTCACAAATGAATAACTTATTTTAGAGTCAAAGTATTTTTATACAAGATAATACTATTAATATAATGTGACTTTTCTAGAGAATCATTATACATAGTTATTTTATACAGGGTTTCCACAGTCTTACATAATTTCAAAATTCCCTGACCTTTAACTGACTCAGGATTAGTTTTCCCTGACAAAATAAATGCAGCCGTTTGTCGTTTTGGTAACTACATCAAAACTACCGCTAGGTGGACAAAAATCACGCCATCTGGCGGAAAAAAATCACCCGGCTGTTTCAAATTAAGCGAGAATGTGTACAAAACAACAAATATGGCACTGGCAACGCTTCTGGGTCGTTTTCATCGAATGTCGGTGATTTTACAGTAATTTTCAGTGATAAATATTTTTTTTTTGCGATCATTGCACTTGCCCGGCGGGCAAATGCAATGAAATTTGTACTCTCCCAACAATAAAAACTACTTGCCCCGGGAGATCGGGTGATGGTTAACATCGAGCCCTGTATTATTTAAAATCAAAGATTTAATTCGTGACTTCCCCCCATTTCTGTCTACCTCTCCAATTTTGATAGCATTATATGACGTGGCCTAATCACATTGCTTTTCCCACTGATTGTGCAAAAACAAAAACATGTCAGCCTGTTATGCAGTACTGCAGTATTCAAAGAAGATCCTAATGTGTAAAAGCCAAAGCTTTCAAAAAGCTGCTTCTGGGTCAATTTATAAGGAAAGGTTTTAGTGTTTTCCATTAAGGCTTTCTGTTCAGCTGAGGTTCCTTTCAAGCACTATAAGGCTTAGATTCTGCACTAAATATATATTTTTTTCTCAAACAACATTTAATTTCAAAGAAAAAGACTGTACAGTTATAAAGTATGCCTTCATACATTCAGTAAGAGAGAAAGTTTAAAGTTGCTAAATGTGTTCCCAGCAGCTTGAAAGCTCCGTTCTGCCACTTTAATCTGTGCAGATTGTGTGATGAACAGGTCGAGCATGAGCTTTCAGTTCCAATGGTTTAGAGTTAAAATGCCAAGAAATGAGAAACAGTCTCGCAAACAGCTCTTTCCAGCAAATGCAGAAGTTCTGATACGTAACAACGCTCACAGTTCAGTGGAAGAGACTCTGTTACAACAGGATCCTGCTCTGACAGGCAAATATTATCAACTGCGTGGTGTGGGAAAACAGGTTAATCCTCAAAGCGACACATGTAACGGTAGCTGTTGAGCCTTGAAAACAAAGATCAAAGAATTAGGGAATAAAAACCGACTCGTTCAGCTCATGTGCTTTGAGTAAATATGTGCATAGATCACTAGTCATCCATTCAAATTCAGCACAAGTGATGCAGGATGACAAAGCCTTGCAAAAGTATTTCTACACATTATGTGGTAGCAGAACTTTGCTCTATTACAACCATAAAAATGCTTAGAAACCGAAAACCTAATGTTTGGTCTGATTTGAACAGAGAGCGATAGTTGATGTTCCCATTACGCGAGTTATGGCAACCTGGACTTTCATTCAACAATGTACTCATTTTAAACACTGCTCTGATTTGTGAAAAAAAAACAAAAAATACAGCTGTCGGGCTATTCAATTATTTTTTTTTTTTTACTCTGTGGCTTCAAATTAATACAAAAAAATTAACAAATCTGTACCTCGAACTTTTGTAAAAATTAATACCTCATCTCCACCATTGGCTCTGGGTTCCATCTCTAACATACTAACATATACAAGCTTGTTTAGTCTGAAGAAAAACTAACCGCTCTGACAGGCAAACAAACAAGGATTCCCACAGCAAAATTGTTCTTGCTTGTTAACATGAATTCAAACGAATACAAACAAAGTGGTTTGCCACATACCCGGAGCTGGAGGGTGTGACGGAGGATAGTCCCCTCTAAGGCGTGGATCCACTTCTCACGTTCATCCGCATCTCGAGCTGAAAGCACAAGTGCAGAAACACATTTAGTGAGTAACATCTTCCTCAAAGACATGACCAAAGGCTGTTTGAGACACACACTAATGACACCAGGACACGGCAGAGAGATGGTATGGAAACTGAGGACAGGGTTGGAAACTTTAGAAATATGTAAAATATTTTTTGGGAAAAAATAAATTACCGTATATGCTGCATTCAAAAAAGTAGATTTGTATTTACTAGCTCCCGAAAGTGATAAAAAGGACAGTCCAAGTAACGGTATTGGGTATAATTATGACTGAACAAAGCATTCAAATTCTAAAATCAACTGGACTTTCTTGACTTTTTCCGTACAACATTCAGAGAGCTTTAGCTCAACACATTTACTTAATCCTGTTAGCAGAATTTGCTAATTAGGGTGATCAAGGCTTATAGTCCATGAAAGACAAAGCTGTAGTGTCTTATAAAAACACAATATTTAAAAAAGCTACTAAAAAAAGTTATTCAATATTGAAATGTTAATCTCCCAATCCCCAGTGGTCCACTTCACAAAATCCAAAAAGATGGTAAACCTCATATAGTCAAAGAGAAGAAGACTTTGCAGAATGCATTTTATATATTCACATTTTTAAAGAAAGTAGAGCCCATAAATAATAAAATATTTTGATGATACTGGAACTGATCAAGATGCCTCTTGAAAATACTTTACTCTGGTAAGACAAGTAAAAAATAGTCTTGACAAGGTAGAATTGTAATTTTCATGTTTTTTCCCCCTCCTACACATCTATTATTACACTGAGAACAGGCTGTTAAACATAGAGGTTAAACAGGGTTTTTATTAACGCTCTATGACATACAGGACTCACAGGAAACCCTTCCTGGCTGCTTTATGGTGTTTATTTTATCCATCTTAATAGATGTTGTGGTCCTTCAGACATTCAGAGGTTTTACAGCATACAGAGCTGCTCTCAACAAGCGGAAGGTTGTCCTATATAATAAAACCTCAACTTAAAAAGCTGTAGCTTGCCCTTATAATGCCTACCAAACTGTATATGGGATCATTTTCCACTTAACTGATAGCAAAACTACAGCAGATAAATGACTGTGCATGCATGGAAGCTGAGCCATGCTACAGCTGAAAAGCTTTTAAAGACATTAAAAAGGCAGCTGAAGCTCACTCCAATCCACTCAGACACTGCCTCAGTGGCCTCTCAGTTTCCCCGCTTTAACAAACAGACTCGACAAAGAAGCAGATTAGGACAGCTAATGCTGTTTAGCTGCTATTCATGTCAGAGACGAGACAGTGGCACTGCCATTCAAGAAACATAAAGACCCCGGGTGCAGGAAGTGTTTGAGTCTGTTTTACATCCACTCTACAAATTATTCTCACAGGTAGGTGTTTGCACTGATGCACTAAGTAGATAAATGCACACACCTACAGGTTGCTGTCGCCACTAACAACAGCTGCATGGGAAGAGACCCCTTTGACCTGCAGAGTAACTTATTGAAACAGATAATAGGTCATTAAAATGTTATTTAAAGACAAGCCCATGATTTATAACTGACCAAATTAGGCAATAAACTGGTAAATGTAAGCAAAAACATGATGGCAGAAAAAGTACAATCATTAAGTCAGGAAAAAAATGTGTTTTCATTATTTTCATGTATTAAAAGGTTTCCTTAAACTTAATAAGCTGGAGTTATGACCTATAACAGAGAACTAGCCACTAGCAGGGAAGAAAAGAGTCACCAAGATCAATGTTTTTTGTCTCAGCAACATCTAAGAGCTTTAAATTGAGGCTTTAAATCTGTAAGAATGTAAGGCCGTTCAAAGGCCCAGCTACACAGCAGGACCATAACAGAGAACTGTGTGCAGCGTAAACCCAATTACTCTGGGCTCTGATAAAGAAAAGGACAGCCAGGCTTATACAAGAACCAAGAGAAAGTTGACAGTGCAACAAGAAGAGAAGCTTCCGTTCTTTAAAACACAGAATGCAAAATACTGCAGAAGAGGCCGAAAATAGTCTACAAGACCAGAATGCAGCTGCTAAATCAGGCACCGATTCTCTGTATTTAGCTCTGCTTCAACGTGTCTACTGACAGCAGATCCCATTTCAATAACAGCATGAGGAATTGATACTGCAGAAGTCTGAGAAAAGGCCTACCAGTTAGTGTCATTCATCACATAATGCAATTCCAGTCACCAAAACAGAATGACTAATTTACATTGGTAAAAATGACGGGTAGAGAATTACAACACAGATCAGACAGTCTTAATAAAACCAGAGTAAAGACTGTTTTTATCATATGAACAAACTTCTTCATTCTCTGACATATAGCATGTAGAATATATTTTCATATTCATAGCTTAATGCAAAGATTAAAAAAAAAATCTTACAGCCACAGCTGCCACCATATCTATTATTGTAGCATACTTTTCCACTGGATTAACCAGTGTAAAAAGTTTCCACAGTAGAAAAAAAAGACTCCCCATCATGGATGTAGGACCTTACCTTTTACAGGATTTCATGGTTAAAGTAAAGAGTTTTAAGCATTTCAAGTTGGTTGAATTTTTTTCATCATCAAAATCTAGTCATGATAGTTAATAAAAAAAATAAAGCAGCCTCAAATCCTGTGGATTATTAACTGCCCTACTGTTGCAGCTTTGTATGCAGTTTAGATTCAGACTCTTTAACAAATATCTGTGAATGCTTAAAACTTCCTCTGACTTGGGTGTGATTTCACAGTGCAAACTCACCGGTTTACCCTCTGTAGCTTAAGCTACACCCACAGCAGAATAACAGCCACACAGAGGTAGTGGCGTTTTTCAGATTGATAACGAGGAGGGGGAGAGGCAAAAGACAGAAATAAATGTTCATATTTATACTCAATCTCTGCTAGCTGAACCTATATTTTTTCCATTCCACACCAGATCACTGTGCAGATTTCTGCACTTGAAATATAGCAGGGGAATTTCTGAAGTGAAAACAAAAGGGGAAGAACATCTGAGCATTTATTACTTTACAACACTTATTCAATCTTGACCGATCATGCAACTGTTATTGAGCATGCTGCAAGAAACCGTTTCTGCCCAGAACAAGGAGTGAGAACCCCTCAGAGCGGGGCTGTGAGAAAAATAAAAAACTGGTTGTAAGCGTGAGATAAAAATCACAAATCCTTCTGTATGTAGCAGCATTTACTCACTGTTCAAAAATGAAAGCTTCCAATTCAGTGTTAGAGGGCTCTTGATGTTCTTTTTGTACTCAGAAAGTCTACTTTCATCTAAATCAGAATCAACTTTAAAGGCCAAGATTGTGAACACCAACAAGGAATTTGACCTTGGTTTGCCATTGCTTACTTCATAAAGAGCAGTTTAAACAGCATACAGAGCATGTAGAGAGAGCTCCTAAAGGGATAAAAAATGATAATAATAAAGATAATGGCAACATGTCCATGTGCAACCCTTTTAAATAATTGTGATTAACAGTTCTAGCAGTGTGTGACTGCCCTGGCAGTGATGTGGTCATGTGTCGGACAGTTTGGGGAAATGAAATAGTCTGATTTATGTCATTAGTGCTCTGTAAAGCCATCCGGAAGAAAAATGTTCTAACCAGCATGTAGAGAGTCAGCAAAGATGTTAGATTGTCTTATTTTCAGTTGTATTTGATTTAAGTTATAGAGACAATATATAACATGTCATCTGAAGGCACTTTGCTGAGAAAATTAAACCAGATCGTTCAGACTATTAGGAGTTAAAAACCAGTTGATTGCATCACGTTATTGACTTTGACACGCTTCTCCTAAATGAGAATGCAGCAAAAGTAGATTTTTTTCCTGTATTGTGTCTTTAACTCTACTTGAATCCCTCTACCAAGCATGCATGCAGTGAGAGTGGAGAAGAAAAACTCCTGTTCACAAGAGAGAAGCAGACATACACAAAGAACATGGAAGCAATGATTCATCAATATTTTCTATGTTAGAAAATGTAATTGTATGGTTACATGGTAAAAGCTGAGCCCATGGCCATATTAAGAGAGAAACAAGACAAAGCACTGTAAAAACAGGCCCAACTCTAACATTGAAGGTGTTGATAGCAGCAGCTCAGCTAATAGACCAGATTGTGGAATCAGTAATCTACCTAAAGTCCACACTTGGAATAAATGCTCCTGCAAGGAGCTTTATTTCATACAGATGCTCATTAACTCTTCCTCGCGTGTGTTTAACATGTTAAATGTGCAAATAGAGTACCATGGGCCCCCAATATATCACACACACAAGTGCTTGTTCCTTATCTGTGTGTGTGTGTGGCGAGTTCCACCGGCGCACAGCCTCCCTGCTCCTTGCGCGCTGACCTGTTTCTGTGCGTTTATGCCAACTTCTGTCACTTTGAAGGTTTTACCCACCAGACAAAGCAGCCCATCTGTGATGGACTACTTTCCAGGAAGTCAAGATGAGGCTACTTTTGCGAGAAAAAGCAAAGAGAACCTCAAGTTAGAGGTTGAACTAGTAAATACTGCAGAATGGAAAAGAGATTGAAAAAAGCAGACTAAAAGGGAGATGAAAGGTGTCATTTAGTCTGGCCCCGATGAATGAGACATCGGAAGATTGTTGATGAGAATAACCCATTGTTTTTCAAACCGCTGTATGTACCTATTGGCCAAACCTCTGACCAATGACTAGAAAGCTGGTGGGGGAATGTAAACAAACAGCCCGTCGGTAAAACGTTGAATACGTCCTTCTCAAAAATGAACGAGCGTTTCAAAGAAAACCCAAAGTCTAATCCTTCCAAAACTGATTCCAAAGCAGAGTCAAACATTGGCATCAGAGCCAGCGGTCCTTCACACACGACTATGCTGAGGGAGGACCGCTGCAGCCCTGACTGCCGTTAGCCTCGGAGCTCGGCTGATTGTCCTCTCAACTTCTAATTTTGGTTTTTTAAAATTACGCATTAAATCGGTAAATGGACCACATAGTGACGCTTAAAAGTATAATATTCTCGCCTCAAATGATGTTAAAGCATACTTTTATAGAACAGCATCAACAGAAAGAGAACTTTTAACACTCAATGGAGTGCTCCATTGAAAGCTGCTGCAGCCGCAGTGCATGCTACTGTTGTGCTTTCTCCAGCGTCGCGCAGCTTTGTCGTCAAGCCCTCAAGACCTCGCCCGCTTTCCATCCAGACATTCAAATCACATCTCTGCGTTGTGATTGGCCCGCCAGATTTAGGGCCTGGGGCACTGATCGAGGCTAGACCAAACTCACAGGCAAAAATCATTTTGGCCGCTGGCGGGTGGGGCTAGTTTACTAGGCTAGTCGCTATGTCCTCCAGTAGCCTGGGGTTAGCCCAAGATAACCTGAGCCACTATAACTACAAGCTTTATCAATGAAGAAAAGGTCAAGGCAAAATGTTTAAAGAAGACAGGGTGGAGGTGCAGGGGTTAGGCGCCCATGGACAGAGGCTTTGGTCCTCAACCTGGCTATCACAGGCTCAAGTCCCAGCCTGCTGACCTTTGCCATGTGAATTCCCCTTCTCTCTAATCCCATTTCCTGTCTGCCTACTTTCGAAAATAACAAAATATAAAGGCCACAAGAATCTAAAAATAACCTCTAATAGTAGACAGGGTGTCTGCCTCACAGACTAAAACTGGTAGTTGGTTAAACAGTATGCTTTTGGACCACCTCAGATAACTAGAGAGGGTGGGTTCTAGGAACCACAAGTAATCCACTGTTAAAACAGTGTTTAGGATCTTTAGGGAGATGTCCACCCTCCTCCCAACAGTTTTAATTAGGTTTAGCTCCAGGTGGTTCTGAGTGCAGTAAACCAAGTCAGATGACACTGGTGTCATCTGTAAACCTCAGGAGTTTCACAAACTGTGAGTTTGGGAAACAGACACAGAGCAAGCCTGCAATTTGTGATGCTAATGCGTCCTCTACCACCCATGCGGGACAGTTAAGCTCTATGAATGCAGTTCACAAGTCGCATACATTTGGAAATGTGAACGACGATTTTACACACAAAAAATAAATACATCGGAATAGAGCATATCCAAATAGACATAATATTGATAAGATAACTGCTGAGTCAGCATCCATGGTTGAAGCTGTGGCTGTCCTGGAGTTTTATGTACAGCACCATCGATAAAGCCACTGAGACCACAGACAATGTCATCCTACCCAACTTTCCAGCACCTGTTTTAAAAAACTCAGTCTAAACAACCTGTGATAAAAGCATCAGTAATAAATACTTACTAAAAAAAAGGCCTTTAACTAAACTAACTGACCCTACCACTGCTTTGTTTTCCCTCTTAATAATGAACCTTTTCCCATAAAGCTGCAACTGCTCTTTCTCCGTTAAGAGCTCTGTAAGTTATGGATTGCATTTGTTTTTCCCTCTCCCAGGTCCAAACCCTGTGCTTTTCTTTGAATTTGCACATTGACATTTCAAACTGTCAAGACAAGGAATTTAAGCCACCTAAGTGAACTGCAATGAAATAGTTCAATGCCCTTTTGAATATAAACAGTGCTTTTCAAAACATTCATACCCTGAATCCTTTTTCAATTGTTTTATTAGACCTTTGAAATAATACATAACCTGAAGTGAATAAAAATGGTTGATCAGTTTTAAGAAAAAATGTGTATATGTGTTTTACATCCGTTCAGAGTGTCAGCAAATAGCCTCTGTTTCATATTCTTTATCTATACAGTGACAATGACAAAAAAGGAAATCAGTCTGTCTCATTTTATCTCATAATCAGTGATAAGATGCAGACCTAGAGCACTAGGAAACAAAAAAAAAAAAACAAAATAAGATGGGCAGTCTTCCATCCTGTTCTGATGCTTCTGACATGAGGAGAGACTGTGACAAAAAGTTGGGTGGGTACAACAGAAAAGACAAGGTGAGTAAAGTGCAAAGACAGAAAAGTGGAAAAGGCCTTTCAGGCATCTATAATGTGCCGCTGGGGGAGCGGCCTTGATGAATTATGGATGTTCCCCTGAACAGTGAGAGAGCAGGCCAGCAAAGTCGCCTGCAGACTCAAAGATATTTTACCCTGTAAAAGACTGCAGCTTAAAATCGCTATAATAATTTAAAAAAATCATACAGAACACTCTAAGCTTCAGTTACAATGAGTTGAGCAGCACCAGGCGAAAAGGAAAGTCTGTTATAGGTCCACAGATTCTTTCTAAATCATCCCGTTTATCTCTGCAGTGCTGCTGTACTCCTCCTCCTCACGTCAATACCTAAAGCACCTTACCCACGCAATGGCCCATACATAATGGCATATAAATAGAGAGATATACACACTCAGACTGGGTTAAGAGGCCGAATGCATAACATGAGATGACTGATATCTCTAGATAAACTAAGAAATCTGCTCCTGCCCATCATCCTGTGGACTGTTTCTTGTCCACACTCACAGCAGAAGAAGCCAGAATCTCATGTTAATCAATCCCAAAAAGGTACTTTCCATCCTTGTCTTTTAGTTATTATCATCATCCATAGGGATGATATTTACTTAAGCGGTATTACATTCTTGTTTCACAGACAAAATTATAATCAGAACAAGCTAGGATATAGTGTAAAGGGACCCATTTCATTTCTTCCTTTCAAATATCAACATTTTTTCTTAAACCAGAGCTATTTTATGCTTTATGGCGTTTTCAATCCAGGTGTTGTTTAAACAAATATGCATAAATTGAAAATGGTGTAATCTTTGCCCAAAAGTTACCCTCAGGCATTTTTTTTTCTGCCTTTGCAAAATTATCTGGTAACAACATGATTTTCTGTCTCAAATGCTCATTAGTTATCAGCTGAAGTAAAATTATATAAATTTAATCTAACAGCCTAAAGAATGGTGTTGATAACAAGTTACTGAAAAATGTATTTTGGTGAAGTAAAGTCTCCCATATAAAATGATGGCATTTCCATAAAGGTTTCCATTTTTAGCGTTTGTAATAATTAAATCATGACTCTTTATATAGGTTTAGGTTTGCACTGATTCTAAAAATTTTTAATCATTTTTTTTAAAGACAGTCATCAATTTTAAACTTTAAACCGATTATTTGGCTAAAAATAATTAAAAAAAAAAACTACTTTTTTCAGTTATCTTTTGCTGTGGAGCAGTTTCCTCAGTTCATCTTTCTGTGACAATCTCAATCAACTTGCATTGCTGTAATTGTTTGAATAATAATTTTTGATTTTCTCAAAATATCCAGAGAAGAAAGCTTTTCCACTGTACATTTCAACGACAGATAAACGAGTGTTTGAGTTTATGATCGTTAGTTCTTTGTGTCTATGTCGACCTGTGAAATGACAGATACCAACAGCCACTGGATATAATAACTGGTACTCCCTCAACCACATAAGAACAACCAGGTATAGGCAATATATGGATATTCTGCCTATTGCATATACTGACACATGTATACTAGTAAATGTCTAAGCAGTATCAAGAAGAAAATAAAATTAGCTTAGATATAATCTGAGGCTTCTGCCTGAGATTTTAGAGATCCAGGAGGGTCTGTCCCATCTATAACTTTTAGGACTTTAGTTGAAGCTGGCAAAGAAGACATCAAACAAAAACCCTAATTATTATGAGCCATTCGAAGACAGAAAAACGCATCTCTGAAGTCGGACCTCATTATTGAACACTGGTCTATAGTCGTTGTCATATAAGGCAGAAAAATAAAACAACATTATTGTTTTGTTTATGAGGCAAATTTTCAAAACTCATCAACATACATTAGCTTAATACCTGACTGATAAAGATTTTAAGACTCCATCACAATGAGGATACATGTGCTTCTCCTTAAAGATGAACGCACAAGTGTCTTAACATGCATGCAACTTATCCTGCCTCCCCGCGTGGGAAGGAGGGAGGACATCGGATATTATTTAGTCAGGCTAACAAGCATCAGTGATTTTATATTCTCTATATAAATAACATCTGTTTCTGTCTGTGATTAATTCTCTGCAGCTAACTAAGCAGTCTGCTTCTTCACTGCTTCAGCCTGGGCCACAGACTAAATCACCGAGTGCAAAAGAACACCGAGCTCCACCCTGACTCCTCATCCCAGAAGACAAACAACTCCTCCTTCCTCTTGCCCTGTGCTGGCATGCATTGAGACCCATGAGACGTGCACACTTTCCTTCTTACCCTTGCGTTTGTAGAGCCACAGCATACAGCTTCGGAACACAGACATGGGACAGGGCATGGAGGAGGTGAGAGAGACGGAGGGCCCATGGACCCTCGAGACGTAGGTGAAAAAGAGGGTGCTGGATGTAAGGGTGTGAAGGCGTGGATGATAGCAGAATGAACACAAACTGAGAAATGGACGGGCAGCGATGAAGGAGATTAAGAAGAAATTAGTTAAAGACCTGACGGATAATTTGGGTGTTAAAAAAAAAAATCTAATAGGAAAACTGTGTCAGAAAAGAAAGGAGGAAGATTGACTGAACAGGAAGGGTTGGGTCCTTTCCTTTGGGCTGAATAGTTGTTTAAAAGTGAGCAGCATCAGTGGTGCAGAAACAGCATCAGCATCAGCCAGGAGAGACCTGAGCTCAGCTCCAGCCTCAGCACTATTCACTCATTATTCCCAGAGGCACACATGAGCAGCAGTCGTCCTCCATAAGCAGAGACAAAGAAAAGGGATTTACTTGCTCTCGCTGTTCCGGAGGAATGAGGAAAAAAAAGGAAAAAGATCCTGTTTATCTACAAAGATATGCCACAATAACCTGGAGCAGTTATTAAGAAAAGCAGGAAATTGCTCTGATACAAGAAGTCCGCCTTAACTCTGCATTGATGCCTGTGTGTTCACGCGCTTCCTGGCTTTAGAGCAAACCAATCCAAGTCTTTAGAAGGTGGGGAGGGAGAGAGTAGAGGGAGAGGGGGAGAGAGAGGCTAAATGAAGAGCACAGATGGATGCCAGAAAGATCTCTGAGACCAAGGCAGAGATGGATGCCAGAAGCAGAGCAGAGGACACCTCACCTTGAAAGTGGAAAGTCTTCTGGTCCACAGTGATGGTGAATGTGCTGTCATCTTCGTCATCTATTCCGATCACAGCTCCCTGAGCACACAGAGAGGAAGACAGGCGGTCACACAGGCAGACACGTCATACTCCACTTCCTAAACCCATGCCCTCCCTCCACATGTCCCAGCAGCCTTCTATTAGCTCCTATTACTCAATTAACCTTCAGTGAAACTCGCTTTTTCCCCTTTAACTCCAAACTGTATTTCTTACTTATGCCTTTGAATGCAGCCTTTTGGAACATGGAACAGCGATACAAGGGAGAGGAAAGAAGGGGGGTGTGGGTGTGGAGAGAAGAAGGGAAGGGTGGAGGAATATAGACGGCACCAGGAAGAAAGGAAAAAAAAAAAAAAAAAGCACCACAGGGATACAGCCCACTGGCTGGCTGGGACATTTAATTCTGCAACAGAAGCAGGGCGTGTGATCCAAAGCTGAGGCACAACTGGACAGTTTGGAAGAAATGACACTAGAAGTTGTGAAATATTTTCCAGACCTTTTCAAATGTACTCCTTTTGTTTGCTTAATGTTAGTCAAGTTCTTTGCAGGCCAGAAAACTGACCATGGCTAAGAAGTAATCATTATAATTTCTCTCTAAACACATTGTTCTATTCCTCCTTATAATGTTGGACGTTCCTTGAGAAGCAAAATAAAATATTATGTTTCCAGTAAATATAAACTTGGTCTATAATGAAATGAGAAGGTAAAAGTCATTTTTTAAAAAGTCACTTCAATTCATCAATACCGTGCTTATTTTTTAACCTAAGTCCGTTGACACAGTTCCTATCCGTATATGTACACATAAAACTATTATGTAAGTAATGACATAAGATCAATTAAATACATTCCGCAAGTTTTGATACAATGAAGTCGATTGAGCTTTGAAACATTAAATGTCAAAAAGTAATCTAAGGAAGCTCAGCTGATTGAACTGAGGACCAATAACTCATCCTGTGCATGCATGTGGCCACAGTGTGCAGAGGAATGACTTTCAAGTGTGTTTAATGTACAGCACAGTCGACGGGTCAACAGAATCGACTGTATGTGGTCACTACACGCTCATAATGGAGGAGTGATTGGTTCATGTCAGCGACTGTATTTCCTTTTACCAGTATGAAGCATAAAGTGAACTTGGCTGCACTGTTTAATAAAATGTTTTACTTAATGTGATACAACTGGAATGTATGTTATTGAAATTGAATCTGTATACATGACTGGACTGAAGTGACTTGAAATGTTTGTAAAGACTATCTTCCTTTTGAATTTGTACTATATAAAATAATTCAATATGCAGAAAACTATACGGTATTCAAAGCGAACATAAACTTATATAATCTTAAAGGAAAGTGAAACAGATGATGAACCACAATCAGTTTCACAAACACACTTTCCATTTAAAAATTTCAAATGAATCCAGGTTTACAGTCTGTTCCAAATCAACCACACCTCTGGGAGATGCAGGTTAAAAGCTGTGACCTGATTTTAACAACATATTTCTTTTGATTAACAGTAGGCTAATGTTGATGTTTACATTAAAACAAGCTAGAAACCTGATCCAATATAGAATGTGTGGAAGGAGATAAACATTAGGATGATGGTGAAAAGGCCTTTCAAACTAAAAACCTGAAGCTCATTACTAAGATTCATCACAAAAAAAAAAAAAAAACTTTTTCAAACTGGCAGTTAAAATGGGGATTTCACTGTTGTAATACTGAACTTTTTTGCATTTACTGTTAAAAAGGGTATAAACATCTTAACACGTTTTATAAGAGGTGATAAAAAAAAAACAGATATTCAAATTCCGAAGTGAGAAAAATGTCTATTTTTGTCAAGATTGGTACTTCCTTTACATTCTTTAAAAAAAAAAAAAAAAAAAAAAAATACTAGTCTCATCTTTTAAAAACATTTCTTAAACCACTAATGTGTTCAAAGTCAAAAGTCTAATTGAGCACATCCCTAAAATGTCACCAAGGATGGTTATTCTATAACCTGACCTCTATTTGTTTTGGTTATAATTTATTTAATTCTGAAAGCTGAATAATAAAATATCTCAAGTACCATTTAATTGTATATATTTCTTTTCAATTACACCCAATTGCTCCTAGTTGGGGGTTAATTGGCCATTAAATTGGCCTGTTGACTCTTAAAATATATTTCCTTCTTTGATTGAACCAAAGTAACTGTGAGTGGCCTTGGCTGGTGGATATGATTTATTTAAAATGCCAGAGAACCACATTTGGTTAATAACATTTTTAAAAAGGAGTGAAATAACCACCTCCCAGTCCGATTCATTCTTTTTTTTTTTCCTCTTTCTCCATGTCCTAAATATTCACTTACGGATATCAGTGTTAGGTTCAAGATTCCCTCTGTGTATATTTAGAAATATCAGAATCAGCCTCTAAAGCTACTGGCATCAAATTAATACTACAGCTACCAAAGAAACTGCTCTGAGAACTGAGAACAAACAACATTTTACACCATCCTTTCACTACAAATGGGAGAAGACGCTTCCTCCCATATATAAGAACCAATGCAAAATGAATAAAACAGCTGTTGCCCTTTCAGATTCATCAAGTTGAATTTCGGCTAGGCTTTGCCGCATTTATTTACAGAACACTTCTCGAAAAAACATACTGTCAGATATAATTAATCTGCAGCCACACAAAAAGCAGAAGTAAACAAACACACATTCTGTTTAATGTGATCTACTCTGTTGTGTCTGCTATCTAAAGTGAAACATTGATTCGGTCACTTTAATGATCAGCAATTACACAACACTTGGACCAGCAGGCGGATCATTGTAAAGAGAACCTTCACACCAAATGCCTGACATAATTATCAGAGATAACTGTAGCTACGCACCAAACAATGAAGGTGGAGAACATCTTATTTACTCAGACATTCTACAGAATTAACCACAGCTGACCTGAAGATTTATGAGAAACACTATTATTTATTTATTAATCTGTTAAAACAGAAACCATCCTAGTCCTGCTATATTAAAACCCCAACATAAAAACATCTTATGTATAAAACTGAGGCAGTGGGATATTTGCTGTCCTCTAGTGGATAAAACTGAACATAGAAAGCAGACTGGATTGAGGTAAAAGTCTGCCCCCTGCTGTAAATGGTCAATTCCTGCTGCCCTAAGTATTTTTTTTTTTCCCATGGTGGAAAATGCAGGTCAGCAAACATTTTAAGACAGACCAAACACCAAAAACAGGGTGGCTTTGTGATTCTTACTCTGAGTCGCACGCAGCCTCTTCTGGATCCTCGCATCATTTTGTCCTTAGACTGTAAAACAAGAACACAAATTAACTGTGTGGAAAAAAAGAAGCAAAAATACAGTACAAGCTTGGATTTATTCAATAAATTATCAAATCGGTTAAGAGGCTGGTTTTAAGCTACACCAAGGCTCTGAGAAGTTATTGTCCAAACAGCAACATATATATATTTTTTTTTTTGCTTTATATCACTCAGCAGTTTAAAATACTGTTAATGACATGATGCAAAACATTTTTTTTTAGAGTTACAAGATACTTTCCTTGCATAAAGTAACACAACACCTCCCCTTCCCCACCTAGATGTATAATATGTTATCTTTGTGTTATTTTTAATAATATAGATTTAGGGGAAATTTTGGTCTACAGAAGCTTGCTTATATCAGATGTAATTTGACTCATTTTTTGGCTAAACTCGGACCAATTTCCAATATTAATATCATATCCCTATAATGTATGAATGAAAATTCTCCAGGACAGAGTTATATTTTAGGGAAACTATAGGTGAACTTTTGAGCCGGAATACCAACTACCATGTTTTGCACAAAAACAACAACATACATTCCTAAAAGAGCAACCAGCAATAAAAACATGGTGGCGGAGGGAATAGGCACTCAAGCGACTTTCCACCAGATAGAAATGAATATTTTGTCGAAGTGGGTCAAGTTATGAAGGGTTCAGAATACTAGGATATCAGCTAAGAGGCTGCAGATCCTGGGTTTTATATTCTTCTTCACAGTGACCCTAATTTATTTTTTAAATAAAAAAAATAAAACACTTCATAACACGTCTGATAGATTTCTAAAAACATCTGTAAGGTAGAAGATAACATACTGCATATCAGTTGCAGATGAATCAGGTGGGGGGGATTTGGTTCTGGCAGTGGTGCAGGAATACAGTAAAAAAAACTAAAAGTTTCTTATTTTCAACATGGTGATATGGCATCGTTTCCATTACTATTTATCTTTCAAACTTCCACTGGAAACAAACGTATAATTCGTAGTATTGGGGAGTAGTTTATGAGCGTCTGTAATAAGTAAAGCTGCTCTTAGGAGAATTTATTGCATGTGTGGACTTTTGGCAGAATAATGACACCATAATTGTAGTTTAACCAAACTGCAGGTAACCGGGAGATCAGGATTTTACCATTATATTGTCTTTACCAAGCTAGTCCTCGTGGGAAATGTTTTCCTACAGGCAAAACAATACAGATTTTGTCCACTGGGGGGAGCCAGTGGTGTATGCACACAGTCTTTACTTTATTCAATTAAAAGAATTGTGCTATGATTAATGTTCACACCTCTATAGACATTTTCTTTCAAAGAACTTGCCTAAAACATCAGGGGTGTCTATAAAAAATAAAGGTAAATAATTACAACTTTCAACAAATCTGGTGCACTGAATAAAAGTACAAATGCTGTTACTGTGCTCATATGTTTATTTATTTGATAAGTTAGGAGCAAAAAGGTGTTTCGAATTAAAAGTTGTTTATTTTTTCAATCAATGGTTTTCTATTTAAATGTGATTAAAATATTTAAATCCAGTCCCACTACTAAATTCTATCTTGGCTTTCATTAGTGTCATTTCATTTAAATTAGAAGTGATACAAAGCAAACCAAAGCCTATTAAAATCAAGAGTGCAGGTATGTTTATCCAAACTTTTATAGTTTTTCTCTATTGCTTTCCCATATCAATACTGAATTTATTTTTTGAATTACCTAGTTCAACAAGCAAGAACCCACAACTTGCTCATATATGATGCTTTCACAGATATCAACTCTATAGTAGTAGGTAAATGATGTGTACTTTTGAAACAGCGACAATTAAATATTAACTATTTTAGGTTTTTCTTGCTCTTTAATAAGAAAATTTTAAATGAATCATATATATTGGCCAGTGTTCTCCACACAACTTTCACACACCAAGAGTACAGTCTGCAGACTTCAGTCACTTCATGTCTTGACTTAACAGACAGTAAGAATGAATACAGAAGCTTAAAAGGAAATAGACCTATAGAAAACATGGGTGTGTTTACTGTTTTTTCTTTTTAAACAGCACACCCTCCATGGATGATCTAAGACATGGGCCAGTGCCCATGTAGAACTGGCCCAGGGCCCTGTTATGGCTCCTGTAATTATATGCAATAGCACAGAAACCATAATTTATTGGTTCCTAAGATCAATTTAATGTTTTTTTTTAGTAACTTTAAAGTTTTATTTTAAGAATGATTTAAAAATGAAGGTGTTGCCCTTTAAACGTCAGTCATATTGAGACAGGATCACAGTGGGAGGGGTGCACTGATTTCCTTTTTCTAACTGATAACACATCTTTCAAATACAGTGACGCTGAAGTGCAAAAACAATTCAACAAATCTTTAAAAACAACTACAAATAAAAAAAAAAGGCAACATATTCAAATACACAATTACATTAACTTGAAACAAAAACCCAACATATTCAGAATCACAACATATCCAAATAAACAAAACAACATAATTAAAACACACACACAAAAAAAACATATTCAAAAATGCAACAATATTAACTTCAAACAAGTACAATTTATTGCTGTTTCAAGGGAATGCCATCGTGTTTCCGAATATGCCGTTTTTGTTTTTTTTAACTGTTAATTGTTATAAAGATGCGTTGATGTGGTTTGCACTTCAGGGTCACTATATTAAAAAGCCTGACATGCCGATAGTGATTTTGATTGATGCCGACTTTTTCTTTATAACAATTGTTATAGGACCACAATCCACTTGGCATGTTTAAATCTTATCATATTGGAAAAAAAGAGAATGCCTGTAAAACAGTTCAATAACTTGTTTTGACTGTACAAGTCATATTTGCATAGGAGGTGCTTTCATATGTAGATGTAGGGTTAAAAAGTTTTGAAAGTGGCTGATTTTCAGACCTTTGCATATGTAGTGAAGAATGGTGATTAAGATTGGTTGAATATTGAAATAGTAAGAAAATTGGGACCCATAAATTGTCACACTCCTATTTTATATTTGCTTTATCTTTATCCGGCGTCTCCACAGTTGTAAGTGGCGCTTTGGTGTAGATAAAAAGGAAATAAAAACAAGGCAATCAGTCATGTTTGATTATATTAAGTGAGACACAGAGCCACTGAAAATAAAAAATGGCCCCACCCCTGGCCCCCCCTGGTAAATTTGGTCAAATACCGCCACTGACAACTTCCCATATGATATAATCTTATTTAAGAGTCCTACTTTCCAATTTTTTTCCCTCATATATATTTATCTTAACCTGACTTTTTAATTTTTGGGGAAAAAAACGTTTGTCCTCTTTTTGTCATACTTTATCAAGCTAATGTAATTCATACAGTACAGAAGATTAAACTCCTAATAACTAATCCGTTTACAACTCTTAACATGGTTTATCATGAAACTGAACTCTGAACAAGGAGCACACTGCAAAGAGACTGATCAAAAACTAACTAGCATCTCCTCCCATTGCCTATTAGTGATAATATATAAACATTAAAACATTCCCAAACCAGTGAGTGTTGAGATATCTAATAATTGAGAGCAGAAACCGCCCAACCAACCTCAAAGCTGTTAAATAACCACGGAAAATATTCTACTATTATGTCTGTTCCTGCTGTTAGCCATGTTAGCCAGCTGCATTAGCGGAAGTAATGTCCAAATACTGCAACCCAATTGGTCATTCGCTCCTCCAAACCTGCTGCTATTGGCCAACATGAGCTTCAATCATCTAATAGACCCGCCTCTTCTAGCCAGCTGATACTCCCAACTCCTGACAAACACAAGGCCTTATCTTACTTCTGTTCAATATCCAGCGACATATTTAACCGCTTCAGTTGGTCACTTTAACCCTTACGGATCGGTGGGAATGAACATACCGTGTAATACGACAAAAGGCCGGCGTTGTAGTCCAAAACAAACCACCGGTACTGCCAGCCTTTCATGACGTTAGTCCACTTGCTTAGCGGCCCCTCCATGATAGACGCCATCTTTACAACAGGCTTGGGTTGGGGAGGAGTCGCATATGGTGAGGCCCTCAGGGGATGCTGCTGAGGAAGAGGAGGCTGATGATGATGAAGACACCCCTTTATTGTACCCAGGGATGGCTGATCTAATGCTAAATTTTGATAAAAGTATATGTGCAATTTGTTAACTATTTACACATAAAACATTAACATGCACATAAATACTAAATACTAAAATATAAATAAATACTAAATAAAGCATCACTTTAAGTACACAAAGAGACCCTCCACCCTTAAGACACAGCAATAAAGATGGGTAAAAAAATATTAAAATAAACATCACATGCTGTACATTTGAGATAATTATTTCAGTGGTAAAATCCCATATGCTTATTTTATTTTTTTATATATTTTAACAAGATCACAGATGCAGACTACCAATGCTTGTGGGCTGAATTTGGCCCACCTGGGAGGAAGGTGTATGAATAAGAAGTGTAGGAGTTTGCTTGATATATACTCTATCTGTTAGTATTGGAAAGGTCAGCTGTTTTCAGACAGCTTTATATAATTAATTTATGTTACAATGAATGACCTTTTAGTTTAGCATACATCGACAAGCAAATGACATGTGTTGCTTTTATTCTATTTGATCTATTTATAATCTTTTAGTAGAAAGATTGAATATTTAGGGGCTGCTCAGTGGTTGGGGGTTTGATTCCCGGCCCCGCTTGGATACCCCACTTGGGATAAAACGTGTCAGAAAATGGATGGATGGATTTAATATTTAGAAAATCACGATTTCTTTCCACTAATCTTGTTGGGTTTTTGTATCACAGTGACATAAATTTTGCATCACCTTTTGCTCTTAGATGTGTACTCTTTACTGATAAACTAGCTGACTGTGTGATAGGACTAGCTGCAAACATTTAGTTGTTATATTTTTATTCTTTTATGGTAAAAGATGATTATTTTACAGAATTTTTTGACCGTTTGAATTATGATGCTCTCTAAATTAGGGTCACTTAGAGAGGATGATTGAAATAAGAGCTAGTTTTTGAAAGCAGTATATTTCATTTGGATTTTTTATTGTGAAACTTAAGTGAGAAGAAAAATCATGACCAAATGTTGGAGGAAAAAATCGGAGATAAACTTTTTAAGCCATATGGCTTAGCCCTATTTTGTTGATAAATAATTACAAATTCTGTGTTTTTATGAGAAGTCTTATACTTGCCTAATTTTATGTATTAAGTTTGTTACAAAAGATGCATTCTTATTCAAATGTTTAATTAACTTTTTTTGAAAATTTTTTCCTAACATTACCATTACAAAAACAGAAGCAAACTCTACCTGGCTGTCATGCAAAATGGTGTGATTTTATATTCTCATGTGATTGGCCAAATGTGAGTAGGGCGGAGCCACTGAGTTAGATAAGAAACGGTTATGAATAAAGTGGAAGCCAGCTGCTCTGATTCACTATAAAGCATATGCCTGTCCCTTCTCCTCCCACCGCTCACTACTGGTGACCGGTATTTTGCTAGTCTTATCAAGTGAACAGATGAACCATGTGGTACATTGTCCTGCAGCCCCCGGGGCTTCAGCATCATTGCCTGTGTGGTCTGGCCCCAGGTTCTCATCTGCCTCATTTCACCCCTTTCTCTGCCGACTCTATGTCCCTGTACTCTGTGATGCATTTGAATATCTGGGGCTCTAGTCCCCTCTGTGTCAGCCCTGGGCACGTTGGATGGGTCTGGGGACCCTCACACCTACTATTGAGGATACCCTTCTGCTGAAGAAGCCTTATAAACCTACATAAAGTAACACACTTGTGTATACACCACAGGCATTTGAATCCAGGTGTTCATGAATAAACAGTTATGTTCAACACTTAGCTGCAGTTTGTCTTGTAGTTAGTGTGTTCTATTTTTTCTTTCCTCTCTTTTTTAGTAGGTGCAGAAGCAGACTTATTGGAGTTAAGTATTTTTTTTTTTCACATTTCGTCCTTTCTCGCCTCCCTTTTTTTTCTCTATATATATGCATATTTTTCCACAAGCCACTTCTAATAAAGTTTTATATATAATTACCAAGTGGTAATGAGCCACGGTGGTTTACTTCTGAATGCTAATCTGTTAGGCAATTATCCAGCATGTCCATGAGAACATCAATTATTACTGCTATATTGGCAAAAAAGACAGAGTCAAATTGTTTCATAAAGTTGAGCCCAGTACTCTTTTTATGAAATCAAAAGTGTAATATAAATCCCTGTACAGAACTTTTTACAGGCAGCAGCCAACAGAATTTGAGTTTTTTTTTCTCTACCATGGGGTTTACAAGGTTTCCAGGTTGATAAATAGGTCAACATCATACAATGTTACCCCACCTAACACCCAACATTGTAGTGAATAGGAATATCCTAATTCCAACATCAGTGAGATATTAGCTAGAAAACTGCCATTGCATAATATCATCCTCCATGTAAGTTCTCGGATACTGGCATGCTGATAAGAACACTCTGCTTCTGTTGGAAGTTAGTCAGTGGTTAATGGCACGTGGACCGTTGTTCTCATACCTATATGTTGAAGAAGATTGTCCTTTGAGTAATGTACCAAGCATTTTCTAAAACTCCACACTACAAAATAACTCATTAAAGTATCTATGATTAATGCTGATATCCTATTGGGCAATTATTGGAATCTATCAGTGCTCAAAGCTGTAATACTAGTATCATAAAGAAAAAGCTGGATTGGGACACCCCTAGAAGTGAAAACAAGAGTACCAATTGTAAATGTGATTGCCTACATTTTTTAAGGTGAGGTCATGCTACTGCAATAAACCAACAGAAAAGGATAAAAAATAATTTCCAGGCTTTTTAATCATCTTACCAGAGGTACCAATATATGTGCATGGAGTTAAATGCAAAGTGCTTAGCAGTTTTTCTTGCATTACATTTTTTTTCTGTACATATTTCAGCACTGATGTAGTTTATTTGCCATTCTGTCAAAGGCTTCTCCAGAATCACAACAGGAGAGCCTTCCACCCATCTACATCTTAAAGGAACCACTGTAAGCTAAATTAAGCTTCTCTCTGGGTTCAGTTGTTATTGAACTGAATATTAATGTTATTACATTTATGGATGTTTGTTTTGAATCTCCTGCAGCTGCTATCTGCAAATATAATTACCCATTATTTATGGCTATTAACATTTTACCCTGCTTTATAATCCAAGCAAGCTAGGAAAACTGGAAAATGAATAAAGGCCATTTCAACCTGTTAAAAAAGTAATCATTACAAACATATCAAAGTAAAATTACACCTTTAAAAAAATTCAGGGATTTTTTTTATTTCTAATGAATTGTATCATATCTAGAACCGAAGTTATTTTTGTTCACAACTCTGTTAAATGAAATGTGATGCGATGTTTTGCATCAAAAACGGCTCAGTTTGAATCAACAATAAAAGATACAACAGCATTGCATCAGTATCTTTATTATTTACAATAGACCTAACACTGATAAGCAGAACTTCACAGTAATATGTGAGCATTAAATAAAAAAAAACAAAAAAAACACAAAATATATTTTTTATACAATAAAAAAAAAAGAAAAAAAAAGTCATGTTTACATCTGACATTATCCCTGTTTAGATTCACATATTCCACTCTGTTTTCATTTTACATTGCACTCATCCAACTGAAGACGTGGCCTTTGGTATAATATTGTGAACGCACGCCCTTCAGAACCAAACCCCAAAGACAGGAGAAATTAAAGGACAGTAAAAGGATCAACATACAGAAACAGATAATAAGCAGAAGTGTAGTGGTCAGACAAAAATTTATTCAAACACGTAGGATCCGAAGGTGGGAAAACCTCATGATGAGGCTGTTTTCAATAAGGCTTTTAGGAAATGTACTCCATGGTGTTGCCAGAAAACAAAGCAATTCAGGAAGCCAGAATGATAGATTTCCTTTCTTAAATAATATTAAAATTTGGATAGTCAGATGGAGTCAAAAGCAGCAGTTTAGGTTTAGTGCAGCATGCGTGCATGTGTCATTTGTTTATACAGCTCCTTAAAAGTGTTATAACAAAAAGAGCACCTTATAGTTAACAGTTTGCATCTCTTACCATCAAATTTTAATGGAACTCATAATGGGAGGGAGTGGGATATTCACTGTGATTTGACGCAATGTTGTTTCTTTTCCGTGTTTTTTTTTTTTTTTTTTATATAAAAAGGCACCAAAAACTCATTTGAAACTCACAGTGAACTGATTTTTTTTTTTCATAAAGCATATTTCTTCCCCCAAAATATGGGTAGTTTCTATTGAAGCCGAAAGGTTAAAGAGTTATGGAGCTTCCTGATTATTGGTTCTGTTACATGTCCATTCTTTAATTGGTAAGGACCTTTCCAGTGTACATCAAGGTAAAAGCTGGGGCAAGAAAACAAAACCATGTTAGAGAACTGGTTAAGTTATGTGCTGTACATGTGTTCATTAAACAGAAGAACTCTCTCCAGACTGGTTAGAATCCGGAGTTACAGAGCTATGAAACAAAACAAAAACATGGCATCGTAGGAAAATAAAGAGAAAAAAGTGAAACATTTGACCAGGTTCAGGAAAAAGGGTAAATACATTCAAAGAGGTTTTGCAGATCTCTCACATTTGTCTTTAAGCCATCGATACATAATCCTCTAAAATCTGTGGATAAGAAATAAATGAAAACTCTCCATAATTTTCCTCTCAAAATATGCCTGTGCTTTGAACAAAAATAATTTAGTTAAAATTCATACATTCTAAAAAGCATTACTCTTTCCAAGTCAAATAAATCCACGTGTCGCCCATGTGCTAAAGACGTACTGCAGTTTATTCTGGTGAGAGTTCAGTCCTGTGTGACTGGTTTAAAGTAGGTCTATGCACTCACTGTGTTCTTATATTAGTTAATCTGAGGCACTGGGGCCCTACAAGGCTACAAAGGAATCCAGCACAGTCCATCCCGTGAAGGACACTTAAGGAAAACACGTCCAAGTCGACCCAGTGCCATCCTGTGCTTTCCAGCTAATCTTCCCACTG